TAATTGTAATTGCGGGTAACTACATTTCTAACTATATTCCCACCAGTTGGTACTTATGCCAGCTAGGACTTAAGATTATTATTATTATTATTTTGTTGGGCTTGGGCTTGAACTCTGGGATTGGGTACTGTCCCTTAGCTCTTCAGCTCAAGGTTAGCACTCTACCACTTGAGCCACAGTGCCACTTCTGGTTTTCTGGTGGTTAATTGGAGATAAGAGTCCCATGTATAGTCCTGCTCAGACTGGCTCTGAACTGTGATCCTCAGATCTCAGCCTCCTGAGTAGCTAGGATTACAGGTATGAGCCACTGGCACCCGGTTTAAGGTTATTTTAGTAAGCATCTTTTAGCTGTATCAGGGATGGATTGATCTACCTTGATGACCATCTATGCATATCCTTAGCAGGCAAACACATGACTTAAAATCATTCCAGTGTTTGGTGTCTTGAAGCATGTCATTAATATTCCCAGGAACAAAGCATTTCTAAGGCCAGGCTTAGGCTAGTTTAGAAGGGGGAAGGGCAGCATGAAAAACAGGACTAGGGCCTGGACGATAATGGAATGGCAAGACAGTATGCTTTTGCCAGTTATGTCCTGAGGATAGTGAGTGATATCTATGTAATGCAGGGCTTGTAAATGCAAGGAACCCATCTCAAGATCCTGCCTTAACTAAATACCCACATTTCTTTTCCATGTAGAAGAAACATTCACGGAGTCCCAAGAGAAAAAATACACCGAATGAAAGAACGGTATGAACACGATGTTACCTTTCACAGTGTACTTCATGCAGAAAAACCGAGCAGAATGAGCAGGAACCAGGACAGGAATAATGCGTCGCCTTCCAACGGCGGAGGATACTGGAATACCTACTCTGAGTTTCCAAACCGGAGAGCGCATGGCGGTGGCTTCGCACACGAGAGCTCCTTTAGCAGAAGGGGCGGCTGTCACCATGGGTATTAGAGGCCCATCTGACAGCCATGGAGAATTTTCCTAAATAAGTTTTTACTTCGATTTTTGGTATTTATTTTTTGTTCACGTTTTAGTCAGAGCTCTAATTCCAGTGTACATATTTGAACCCCCAAGTTTCTGAGCAGAGGCCATTATATTCATCACCTTCAACAAACATTGTTACAGTGCACCCATACGCATGGTCTGAGGCTGGAGAGTCTGCAAGTTGGATTAAAGTGTCTTTCTCCAGGGAGAGAACTGGAAACTAAAATCCAAGAATGTAATCAGTGACATAGGTTCATAAATGAAACCGTGTTTATATACTTAAGCTTCAGTACCACTGTCTCTGAAGTAATCCATTTACTATTTCAGGAAATTTCATCTCCATCAGGGAAGTTTAAAAGATGGGGGAAAGCAAGAGGCTAGAAACTGCTTAGTGCCATTGCTACCTTGATATATTAAAATCCATAAGACACTAATGATACTGCTTTTCCTTTAAAAGTAACACCCTAGCAAGTATACACACAAGGGCATTTGTCCTTCAAAGTGGACACTTTGAGAAGCTACTCCTTTATTTTAATGATACATCAAGGTTAAAAAAACATCAAATCCTTAATAAGGGATACAAGCTACTTAAGGAAACTGAGTATCATTAGGGTCACACCTTTTGTTTAATTGCTTTAGCAGTATCAGACCTAACTTTTGGCTATTGTCTAAGCGTAAGCAAAATAAACTTGCCTTCATAAAACACGTTTTTAACAGGAAATATTAAAATGATTCTTAAAGTTGTGCCTATAAATTTGTATGATTAGTTGGCAAACCAGGTGTTTGTGAATGCAAGGAATGTAGCAGCCAAGCATTTGATCCAGTGAGGATGTGTGAAAGCCATGCTCACTGCAAGATGAGCAGTGTTGGTAGTTTCTGCAGCATTATCTGACACAATAGGGTTCCATCACACTCTGGAATGACCCTCTTAGACCAGAACTGAATTTATGAATCCAGGGTAATCCCAACAGGTTCTCATCAAATGTGTGAGGCTATGATAAACAAGACCATGTAGATGTATGCTCTCTTGTTGGCCAACAGCTTCTTTCTAATGTTGTGATATATTATTTTAAGTGTCTTATATAATGGTGCTTTTATGGTTATTAAATTGTATATGGTATTGCATTTATATGGATGTGTCATTGAATTCTTTTGACTTAATGATAAAAACATTTGCCAAAATCCCAAGTAATTCAACCACAAAGAAACCACCTTTTCTATACAATAGCTTGTGTGCTAGGTAATTTTTTTTAATACTTTTAATGCTTATATAAACCTGTGTACATTAGAAAGATAATTTTTTTTTTTTGGGTCCGATCGTGGGACCTGAACTCTGGGCCTGGGTGCTGTCCCTCAGCTCTTCAGCTCAAGGCTAGTTCTCTACCACTTGAGCCACAGCACTACTTCTGGCTTTTTTCTTTTTGCTTATATGAGGAATTGAACCCAGGACCTCAGGCATGCAAGGCAAGTGCTCTACCACTAAGCTACCTTCCCAGCTCCGAAAGATAATTTTAATTCAACATCCTATTACCTAACATGCAGAAATCTCCTCAAGGGTGGTGGCACAAGGCTATAATCCCAGCTGTGCAGGAGGCAGGTTGAAAAAAGTTAATGATATACCCACTTCAACAAATCAGCTGGCGCTAGTGGTCCACGCCTACATTCCCAGGCTATGCGAGAAGTATATGTAGGAGAAAGCAAGACATTTTCTGAAAATTAACTAAAAGCAAGAAAGGGCTGGGAATTTGGCTCAACTGGTAGAATGTGCCCTGAGTTCAAATCTCAGTACCATGGGAAAAGAACCAATTATCCAAAACAAAAAAAAAATAACCCTACTCAACAACTTGAGAAATTAATGAGTAATATATCTATCATTTTTCTTTATTAATGTTTTTTAAGTTGGCATCTCTTTTGAGTAAGAAAGCTTGGCAGATTAATGTAAATTTGAATGAATTTAAGCTATTAAACTTTTGCCAAATTCTACATGCTTAAGAATAGCAGAGTGATCCTATGATAGCAATAACCCAATGAATTCTGCTTTCCAGGTCTAGGTGATCTGAGTGTTAGTCACTGTGCTTATCGCAGTCACCTCCATGTTGGTGACTCAGCTTGTCTAGGTAGTAGACGGAAGTGTCACAGCCCAAACTGGGAACTGCCTGTGAGTCCACAGAAGTGAGCGGTCTATAGAGACAGATGTTAAGTGTCTTGATTTGGCTGCATCTCTGCATATCGTTTGGTTCACTTGGGATATGAGTGACTATCAATGGCTCTGGGCCACAGATCCAAAGCTTTTGTAGAGCCCTGAGAGTTTCCTGCCCTACTAAGGGCTCTTCCTAGATGATCATTAAATACTTTGGAAGCATAAATATTAGCTGATTAAATGCTACCAATTTTATCCCACCTAGAAGTGATCTATGTTTTGTTTCCATTCCCCTGGCTTCTGATTGATAAGATCTTATGAATATCCAATACCGACTAGAATTACTTTTGTATTACAGTCTGCATTACTCAAAGAGCTGGCAAAGAAGACTGTACAGAATAGGCTCATTAAGTGATTGTTGAGTTACACAGAATGCTTTCACCATTTACCCTATGCCAGGAAATTTCCATCGTGGACTTAATAATCATTAAACTGTCACTTTCAGGGGGATAATATAAACACATACTCAAGCTTCACACTTGGTTCATGTAGGTTTGTCTATATAAATGGTATGAATGAGAATGGGGGAGGTAATAGAATTTGTTCCTAGGATCCAAAAAGAGCAGATCCAAAAAAAAGCAGGTTAAATTATAATTCTTCCTAATTAATGTGAAACTCCAGTTTTTTTTGGGTCACGGGGCTTGAACTCTGGGCCTCAGCTCTTCAACTCAAAGCTAGCACTCTACCACTTGGGCCACATTGCCACTTCTGGTTTCGGGTGGTTTATTGCAGATAAGTCTCATGGACTTTCCTGCCCGGGCTGGCTTTGAACCATGATCCTCAGATTTTAGCCTCCTGAGTAGCTAGGAGTAAAGGCGTGAGCTACCAGTGCCTGGCTTGAAACTTCAGTTTTATTCCAGGTAAGAGTGGATCACTGTGTGATTTAGACTTAAATTCATGGATCACAGAGAAGGAAAGAAACAAGTTCATTTTTAAAAGTATTTGTTTTTGACTTTGACATTGTTTATAATGAGGTTTGGAAGCACAGGATTATATATGAACTTACGAAACATTAAGGATTTGACAGCTTCATGCTACTAGTTCTGAGTTCCAACTGCTTGATCCCTTTTCTCTATTAGATGTAAGTAGTAAGAGAAGGCACTGCCTTAAATTTCTGCTGTTTCTTCTGCGATGGAGACAGGTTAGCAGATAGACAATCCATATCCTGTCACTGTGAGAAAGGTAAGGCAGGTGCAATCAGTAATATCTAGCAGCAAGATGCTCTCTGAAACTGCAGTCTGGTTAACTGTTTTAAAGCAAAACAAAATACCCTAAAACTATGCAATCTGTTTTTGACTTGGGAGTATTTGATTTTTTAGTTCAAGTACTGAGATCATACTGGTCTCATACAAGGAATTACCCGGAAAGTTGTATTTTTCTTCTAGTCATGTCAACTACAGGACGAAGAATTGAAATATCTTTTTTTACTTTTTTTTTTGTTGTTGTTGCTAGAAATGAGGCTTGAACTCAAGGCCTGGGCATTGTTCCTGAGCTTTTCTGCTCATGGCTAGTGCTCTACCACGGAAGTCACAGCCCCACCTATGTCTTTTTGGAGGTAAAGTTCTCCCAGACTTTCTTGCTATTTGAACCATGATCCCTTGGATCTCAGCCTCCTGAATAGTTAGGATTACAGGCCTGAGCCTTTGGTACTTGGTTCACTCTGACTTTTGAACAGAATGGAAATCTAGTCTGAGTCAGTGCATTCATTAAGGAAATGATTTCATACAAAACCTTCTAAAGTAGGGACTAAACATTTAAGGAATTACCTGGGCCAAAATAATGAATCTCAAAAATTTTGTTTCAATTATATAATGTGAAAGAACAAGGTATGTTTATTTGATTTGTAAAATAGTACTAGTAGTGACCAGATTTAATAAAAAAACTTTAAACAAGAGTTTTTGAGTAGATAGTAAATAGTCAATTGTATGGTAGACAACTAAAATAAAAACACATCAGTATAGAACAAAGCAAAGAATCCCTATGATATACAACACTTAGGTAAATCTGAAACTGTTTCAAGCCTTTTCGTGTTACACAAATACTGTGTGCACTTGGAAACTGTCTATGTTGTACAAAAACCAAGTTATTGTCACTTTCTCACATTCTTTGGTGCCAGCTTGGGGGTTCCCTTGTCCCCCCATCAGGGACTCATCTGCTGTTTTTTCTGTCCAAGGTGATCTTGGGTACTAGACGGAGTAGTCCTCTTGGATTCCCTGATGAGCAAGTGGCTTTCTCCCATGGAATCAGACACAAGGGACTGGGTACTTAACAATGCCAGCTCTTCATCAGCTATTGAGTCACGTTCCAAAAAAGAAATTTCACTGACCTTTTTAAGCGGAGTCACCTGAGGAAAATTCAGTTCTTTCCTCTTTGTAGGTGTTCTGTGCTTGGTGCCACAACTCCGTGGTGGCTGAAACGCCTTCTGTGCAGCTGGAGAAACAAATGTACAAATGGGACTCACAGGGGGAGGTAAAGGCAGTCGAGTCAGGAAATCCAAGGCTCTTCTCTTCTTGCACGTTTTGGGGTCATCAATCTCTCTTTCCTCTTTATGTGAAGATTCTGAGATCATCTGGGCAGAAACAGGGTTGGGCAAACACTTTTCTTTTGGTGTACAAAGTGATAGATGACTCTGGTAATTTTGCTTGCTACTAGGAGAAGACTTCTAATAAAACAAAGGCATAATCATAGTTATGTACTAGTATATAAAACAAAATCAAATTAACCTTTCCTTAATAATACTTAGCCATGCACATGCTAGCTGATGATTTTAAAAAACTTCATATCAGGCTAGGTACTGGTGGCTCACTCCTGTAATCCTAGCTACTCAGGAGGCCAAGATCTGAGGATGGTGGTTTGAAGCCAGCTGGAGTAGGAAAGTCTGTATATCTCTAATTAACCACCAGAAAACCAGAAGTGGTTGTAGTTCAAGTGGTAGAGTGCTATCCTTGAGCAAAAAGAACTCAGGGACAGTGCCCAGGCCACAAGTTCAAGCCTCAGAACCAACCAAAACGACAACATTTCATATCATTATTCCTATTCACAAAATAAATTATTTTTCAGAAGAGGATAAAGATAGTATCAAAAAGCTGGAGGAGGGGCTGGGAAGATGGCTCAGTGGTAGAGCGCTTGCCTTGCATGCATGAGGCCCTGGGTTCGATTCTTCAGCACCGCATAAGCAAAAAGAAAAAAAAAGCCAGAAGTGGCGCTGTGGCTCAAGTGGTAGAGCGCTAGCCTTGAGCTGAATTGCTGAGGGACTGTGCCCAGGCTCAGAGTTCAGGCCCCACGACCAGACCCAAAAAAAAAAAAAAAAAAAAAAAAAAGCTGGAGGATCATGGTTTGAAGCCAGTCCATTCAGAAAGTCCATGTGACCCATCTCCAATTACCACCAAAAAGTCAGAAGTGGTGCTATGGCTCAGTTGATAAGAGTTTTATCCTTAAGCAAAAAAGCTCAAAGATAGCACCTGGGCCCTGAGTTCAAGTTCCATGTCCAGCGCACACACAAAATAATAGTATATGGGCTGGGAAGGTGGCTCAGTGGTACAGTGTTTGCCTTGCATGCATGAGGCCCTGGGTTCAATTCCTTAGCACCACATAAGCAAAAAGTAAAAGCTGGTGTTATGGTTCAAGTGGTAGAGCTCTACCCTTGAGCTGAAGAGCTGGGGGACAGCACCCAGGCCCAGAGTTCAGGCCCCATGACCCCCCAAAAAAATTAAAAAAATAACAGTATATGAAAGGAATCATAACATAAGACAATAAAAGGAGGAGTCATCACTTATGCTGCAAGTCTTTTCTTATAATTAACATGTTAAAGTGAGAGAAGCACTGAAAAACCATTTTAAGAATATACATTGCCTGGGTTCCAAGACTTACTTTTCTAGCCTTGTGGGTCAGTTGCTTATTAACTTCTTCTGATGACAGAGTTTGCTCATGTGTTGTCTCATAGGATTGTTGGATTAAATGAGTTCATACAGCTACACTTAGTGTTAGCTGTGTAGCCAATCACAGAATTTAGTTTGATTAGTATCAATTTTTGTGATTTAACAAGTTAAACTGAGCTTAGAAACAACCCTGACAGTATGGAATAGTGCTTTAAGCAAAAAAAGAGCTTTCCAAGCTTGGAATGCTAAAAATGAAAGCACCTGCTTGTAAAGTTTGCCCCTAGAGTTTTTATTTTGTGTGTACTTGTCCTGGGGCTTTAACCCAGGGCCTGTGTGCTCACCCAGAGCTTTTTGGCTCCAGGGTAGTGCTCTACCATTTGAGCTACAGCTCCACTTCTGGACATAAGAGTTTCATGGACTTTACTGCTCCGTGGACTTCAAACTGCAGTCCTCAATCTCAGCCTCCTGAGTAGCTAGGATTACAGGCATAAGCCACTAGCACTCAGCTCTGAGTTGTTTTACTTTTTTTTTTGGGGGGGGGGGGGGGGGAAGGACTGAACTCTGGGCCTGGGAGCAATCTCTCAGCTATTCAGCTCAAGGCTAGCACCCTACTACTTGATCCAGCTTTTTTCATTTAGGTGGTACTGAGGAATTGAACCCAGGGCCTCATGCATGCAAGGCAAGCACTATACCACTGAGCCAACTTCCCAGCCTGGTTTTTTACATTTTTTTATTTCAATAAATAAGAAATAATTTCCAAAGAGCCTTACATATAAGAAATTACACTTTCTAATTAGATTTAATTATATTTTACTATGTTGGCTAGTATGTATCAGAATATACTGCTGCCTCCAAATACAACATTTATTACATTTACATTGACTTACCAGAACTTCATTGTCTACACCAAGGGCTGAGTAAGCCGGGCAGGGCTCTGACTTGTAGTCTTTAGTTGGGTTGAACCACTTGGGAGAGTTTGCATTAAGTAGAGACATAAGCTTCTTTTTTGCATCATTGCAAAGTACATCAATATTCTAAGAAAATAGAAAAGTTATTCTGTAAGCTGTAAATTCATATAATAAATACAAAATATTTTCAGGAAAATGTCAGTATTTAAGACCATAAATAAAATATTCTGATTAGAACAAAAGAATGAGACATCCCAATTTAATAAGAACTGTCAAACTGGATTAAATAATGCAACTATGAAACTACATTTGCATATTGCAAAAATGCAAAATCAACACTAGTGATTTAGGGGAAATTACTTGTCAGGGCAAAGGGCTGTGGAGGGAGAGGAATGAATGAGTATGGAGGAAAGAGCTTGTAGGAGCTCTGCCGAGGTATATACTTTATTCTGCAAGGTATCATGCTATTGAATTTAGAGCTGGAGGGCTGGAGTTTGTGTTCCAGGTCTATTTACTCCCTAAGAGCTGGGAGCTAACACATTCACAATCTCCTTAGGGCAGTAATATGAAAGAACTACCTTGCCTGCCTCATGTCTGTCTTCAGAATTAACTGAAATAATGTAGTTTACATAAAATTGATGTTTGAGGAGTCCCAACTGGCCAAACACTGACAACTTCACATGGTTTAAGCTCATATATCAAGAGTATTTTGCAAAAGCTTAAGAACCTGGGATGTAAAGAATAGGGACCTTGTAAGGGGGCAAATAATAAATGCAACTCTCATTCCCAATTCAGAAATTAGATACATCAGAATGTATGCATATTGAGCCTATTTTTTTGTTTTTATGTTTTTGTTAGTATTGGAGTTTGAATTCAGGGCCCAAGGCCTTGTATTTGCTTTGCTTGATGAGTCAGATGGTGCTCTACCACTTGAGTCATACCTCAGGTTCTGCATATAGTGTTTTGGTTTGGTTATTTTAGAGAGTCTCATGCGTTTTTATTTCTGGAATGGCTTCAAATCACAGTCTTCTGGATCTCAGCTACCCCAAGTAGCTAGGATTCTAGGTGTTAGCTACTGACACTAGGTGCATAATGAGTAAAATATTAATATAACCTAAGCTTTATATAACTAATTATTCAAATGCTTTTTAAATGGAATTTACAAAAAATTTGAATACCATACATTTTAAATATTAAACTATAGAATTAGGCTTTTTGTGTATTCTTCAATATTACAAATTTTTTTGAAATCTAAGTTTTTTTTTTTGGTTGGTCATGGAACTGTCTCTGAGCTCTTCAGCTCAAGGTGATCACTCTGCCACTTGAGCCACAGTGCCACTTCTGGTTTTCTGGTAATTAATTGGAGACAAGAGTCTCATGGACTTTCCTGCCTAGGCTGGCTTTGAACTGCAATCCTCAGATCTCAGCCTCCTGAGTAGCTAGGATTATAGGCGTGAGCCACTGGCACCTGGCTTGAAATCTAAAAGTTTCTGAGGAGGCAACATTGTCCAGTAATTAAGACTCTGGTTTCTGTATTTAGAGGGCCTAAATAGGAATCATGGTCCTACCAATTTGGCTCAACCAGGGCAAGCCAGATAATTTGTTTCTCACCAACAAAATGGAAAAGTGGGTCTTTTCTTTTTAGGGCTGTTAGAAGAATTATTTGAGGTAAGCTTAGAATGCCTGACCCATGGTAAAGATTCAATAAATACTACTATTATTATATAATGTATGAATAAACTTAAAATACATTATGATCTAGGGAAAATATTTTCGCATCTCCTATTTGGGATTAATTCAAATCAAAGAGATATAAGTGGTGCAAGAGACAAAATACAGAATTTAAATGCAAACTCGAGTATATACATTATTAACAAATCATCCTGACAACTGGTATGATGACAAGCCACTCAGTTGACTCTGGTTTCCTATTTCTGCTTACATGCTTTGTAACTCTGAGCATTCTTTTCATATCTTCTTCAAACTTTTCTCTCCAGGCCATTCTTTGCCCCATAGTAGCTGTTATCTCCCACTTCCCTATCCAGGTTCATGGGAAATTACCTTATGATAAAACCTCACCTTACATATTACCCTGAACTACTTAATTTTCCTAAAAGTCACCTGACTTCACTGTGTAGTAAGAGTTAAAGTATTTTTACCTCAACAGTATTTTTCATTTTGTGGAATCTCTCTTGAAAGTGGTTTTCTCTTGGACTTGCAGAAAACATGGAATGATCTCCAGCAAACAATGTAGGAATTCCTGATTTGGATTCTGGTCGCCACTGGAGATTGCTTGCAGCAATTAACATATGAGGCTTAATAACATCTTCATTAAGATCTATCCAAAACTTTATTGCCAATAAATTATGGTATTCATCTGACAAATAGACCAAGGGAGCAAGACCTAGAATGAAAAAGTCCTAATTTAATTTAAAAGTGCAAGGGACCACTAATATGCCTGCTTATTTTAGTGGATGCTAATGGTTAAAAACAAAATAACTGGGCTGGGAAGGGCTCAGTGGTAGAGTGCTTGCCTTGCATGCATGAGGCCCTGGGTTTGATTCCTCAGCACCATATAAGCAGAAAAAGCTGGAAGTGATGCTGTGGCTCAAGTGGTAGAGTACTAGCCTTGAGCTAAAGAGCTGAGGGACAGTGCCCAGGCCCAGAGTTCAGGGCCCACGACTGACAAAAAACAAAAACCAAAAAAACAAATTTTAGAGAAACCTCAGGATTAAAAAATGACATGTTGATTAAATGTTAACATGTCAATGCCAATACATTCAGTCACCAAGGCCAAAGGATAGCAGATATACACATATAATGCTGGACTATACAGATTTGTGAAATCCTTCTAGAGGAAAATTTCACAATGCCAGCAAAGCTACAGATGCATTTAGCTTTCCCTGGACAGTAATCCCACTTGTAGCCGTCTACTCTGAAGCCAAATCTCCAATAGTAATGTACACATGAACAAAGGTCATGGCTGGGAATGAACTGTCTGTGCTTCCTGTAGTGATTAGCTCATACAGGACAGTGTGGTTGGGTGAAGTAGGCTGCAGCCATTATACTATTAATAGTATATACACATAGTATGTACATGTATGTTTTATATATATGCTGTGTATATATGTGTATGGTATATATGATGGAATATATATATATATTTATATATGTATGGTGTTTTGTTTTTTTGTCAGTCATGGCATGTGTATGGGATATATATATATTTTTTAAGTTTTTTTATTTTTTTGTCAGTTATGGGGCCTGAACTCAGGGCCTGGGTACTGTCCCTAAGCTCTTTCGTTCAAGGCTAGCCTTGTACCTCTTTGAGCCACAGTTCTATTTCTGGTTTTTGGGTAGTTAATTGGAGATAGGAGTTTCATGGGGGACTTTTCTGCCTGGGCTGGCTTTGAACTGTAATCCTTGGATCTCAGCCTTCTGAGTAGCTTGGATTGCAGGTGTGAGCTACCAGCACCTGGATATATATTAAATCAGCATAACAACTGATTTACAGGATATAGTATTAAGTGAAGAAGAAAGGCTGAAACACGTTAACTTTGTAAGAAAGGAGATAGAAGAAAAGATGTGCACGTGTACAACAGAGCGAAGAAATAGAGGAAGGCTAAATCAGGAGCGGAGGGACAGTATGTGGCAGGAGCAGGCAACACTGGTAAGTGAGGAGTAGGGTTTATATAGGTCTGACTCTTACAACCAGTTAATGGAATGTGGTTCTAGATCAGCTTAAAACTAAGTTTAAATCAGTTTAAATTTAGTTTCTTAAAGAGAACCAGTGTTCCAAAGAACATTGGTTGATTCCAGGATTGGGGCAGGGGACATATGACGAACCTGGGATCTCAAGGGTTGCCAAAAAGCAATAGTGTTCAAAACGTGAAGGAGGCTTGTCAATCTAAAAAGCTCAAACTCCTTTCAAACTCAAATAATGTAAACAAGTCTGCAGCATAGGTCCGAGCACTGTGCCAATGTCAACTCTGATTCTAGTAACTACCACAGACAAGCAAGGTAACAGCAGATAGTGAGTGAGGAGTACCTGGTAACTGTTTTTATAAGTTTTTCTGAATGTCCGGAATTAGTTCAGATATAAGATAGCTAGGTGTGGTGGCACATACCTATAATCCCAGTGTTCAGGAGGCTGAGGGAGGGAGATTATGAGTTCAAAGTCAGCCTGCGCTGACCCAGTTTCAAAAAAAGAGAAAGAAAAAAGAAAGGAAAAGAAAAAAAGGGCTGTGAGCATAGACAGCTTGCCTAACAAGGCCGTGAGTGCAAATATTACTACTGCCAAAAAAAAGTGAAATTTCTAATGTAAAAAATGGGCAAAGATAAGCTGGACACTGGTGACTAATGCATGTAATCCTAGCTACTCAGAAGGCTGAGTTCTGAGTGTTGTAGTTCAAAGCCAGCCCGGATAGGAAAGTCAGTTTGAATTTCTTATCTCCAATTAACCACCAGAAAACTGGAAGTGGCACTGTGACTCAAGGGGAAGAATGCTTGTCTTGAGCTGAAGAGCTCAGGGACAGCACCCAAGGCCCAGAGTTCAAGACCCATGACTGGGAAAAAAAAAAAAAAAAAAGGAGGCAAAATGCTATTGGATAAGCCACAACAGCATTGCAGCACTGAGGCTAATGAAAGCTCTTGTTGTTCTTGGCAGTAAGCATCTAATCCTTTAGGGTTTCTTACTCTGAAAGTTTCCTTTCCCCAATAAATGGTAGGAACAGAAGCACTGTCATTCTCACGTAATGATTTATCACACTGAAACCTCTCACCTCCCACTTTATACATTTATTTAGTGAATCTACTGCTTATAGATATATTTTACCAAACACATGTAGTTTCCTAATTTTGGAATCTGCCTTTAATTATATTCAAAATTTGATTGTATCACTGTCCTCTCAAATGTCTTCTTTAAAATACCTTGTTTTCTCCAACCTTGAAAACAATATATGCTTATTGAAAAATATTTAAAATAGCACAAAGAATGAAAATAAGTATACACAGGGAGAGGTTCCTACTAGAATTAAATTGCATGAAAACTTTTAGTTATTTCTCTAACCTCAATGCATCTTGTATGAACCATTCCATTAGGAAGAATTTTATTTTGAGGTAGGAATCTCACTAAGTTGCCCAGGCTGGTCTTAAAATCCAGAAACTCCTACCTCAGCCTACAGAGTAGCTAGGGTTACAGTCATGAACCATCATGATAGTTCTGGAAGAAGTTTTTAACATTAATACCTTTAGAATGTGGGATTAAATCATTCTGAAATCAAAAGAATAAGAAAAATGTTCTGTACTCTTATAGTGTGAGCTACTCTGAACGTGCACAAATTCTTGGTGGCTTTATCAATTCTTCATTCTAACAAGGCATGGAATCCCTGTCTCAGAATATATCTACAATGGACCCAGGTACAGATCCTCCAGTATATCCCAAAGTCTCCACCATAAGGACAGAACTCAGGTATTTGTTCCTGCTGCGGCTGCACACTAGGGGAAACACCATGAGTTCCACAAACAGAGGAACCTATTCAGCAAATGGGATCTTGACTGGCCAAGCCTACCATTTTGCCACCAGCAGTGGTTTCTACTACACAAAGAAAAGAAACTTCGGTGGTGGAAACAGCATACAAGTGGTAACTAACCTTGACCAGCCCTCCCCTCAGCTAACATATGACACCAACACAATTCAATGCAAGCGTCCACAGCTAGTTCTCCTCTATCTGAGCAGTGCTAAGGAACCAAGCCTTGTGGCTGAAAGTGGCAAAAGTTTGGCCACTAAGCTATCCTCCAGTCATTTACCCAGTGTTAAGAATTCTAGCAGGTGCTGGTGGTTCTCATCTTTAATCCTAGCTACTCCAGAACCCAAAATCTGAGGATGTGGTTCAAAGTCAGGATAGCAGAAAAACCCATGACATTCCAAGAAACCAGCAAAATATTGGACTGGACAAATGGGTCCAGTGGTAGAGTGAAAGCAAGTGCTGTGTAAGTAAATAAACAAATAGGTAAGTAATTTCAAAATAACCAGAAAAAAAAGTTGGGAGAAATAAGTTTTGTAGGGAGTGGGTGATAGTGGGAGGGAGTTGGGCTAAAAGGAGGATGGAAGAGAATGAATATGAGAATGAAATAGATGATTTGCATAAATGAAAAGAGGACAGTAAAACCTGTTGAAACTGTTTTGGGAAGCAGGAAAGAGAAAGTGATAAAGTTTGACTGGAAAACATTATAAACATGGGTGGAAAAGTAACAATGAAATCCCTCCCTGTATAATGTAAGCTAATAAAAAAGAATAACCAACGAAAACAAGGGCTAGAGGTATGGCTCAAAGTGTCAGAGCATCAGTTCAATAAGCATGAAACAGTTCAAATCTCAGTACTATGAAAGAAAAGTAATAGAGGGCTGGGAATGTGGCTCAGTGGTAGAGTGCTTGCCTAGCATGCGTGAAGCCCTGGGTTCAATTCATCAGTTCCAAAAAAGCTGGAAGTGGAGCTGTGGCTCAAGTGGTAGAATGCTAGCCTTGAACAAAAAAGAAGCTCAGGGACAGTGCCCAGGCCCTGAGTCTCAAGCCCCAGGACTGGGGAAAAAAAAAAAAAAAAAGAAAAGGGAAAATAAAGGTTAAAAAGAGGTCTTATTCACATCACTAAGTTAGGAAAATTGCCAGCTGTTAGTTTCAACTAATTATTAAGAAAAGGAAGCTCAAAAGACAAGTTTTTCAAAAAGTTATGATTAAGCATGTTGTGCCTCACCTATTTTTTTCACAACAGAAACTACAAACCCTATTAGGTCCACTTCAGAGCAAGGTGGCTGAAAGTCTGGATCTAATAGTCTGCTGAACTGAAGGGGCTTTCTTGGCTGGTAAACCTGGAATAAGATTTCATCTGAAGCCTAAAGAAAACAAAACAAACATTCAGTATATGAAGATTCTATAAACAAATAGGAACTTATCAAAATTGAAAAATTATAATGAAAGGACGGTACTGGTAATTGTTGATACTGAGTTCTTTTTGTTGCTGCCAACTGTATGTTGGCTCTTTCCGATTTACATTTCGATTTTGATGTTGCAAGATGATAGATTCTGTATCTGTTTCCCTCTGTTAACAGGGACAGTACGGCTGACGATGGACGCCAGATGCTCAAGGTAACTATGGAAAGATGAAGAAGACACAATGGGAAGAATTGGTAATCATTTGGTTAAAAGTAAACACAGACAAATAATGAAGATTAAAATATTGGATTATTATTTTGTGAGTAACTGATAGCTGATTTGCACCTTTGATTCACACTGATTTTAGACTACCTGATGAGCAATCATTTCATTAAAGTTATATTTTAAATTAAGAAACTATAAAAACAAAAGGATAAAAGATAAAACAAAAACAAAAATTTGCATACTAACCTGCATCTCTTCCTTTTTCCCCATAGCTTACAATACACAACTTCCACACAGGTGTAACATCCCTTGATAAACGTTCTTCCCCCTTTTCAGCAGATTCCATCGCCTTCTGGAATTCCAACTGGATCTGTGCTTGTTTTTTATCATTCAACATTTGTTTGTGATTATTCAAGGCTCTTAACTGCTCTTCACTGAAGTAACTCTGTGACCATTTAAACATTAAAATAAAGGGTAAACAAAGCAAAAAGTCCCACCTACTGTAACTAGACTGATTTAAATAGGAATAAAATCAAACAGATTTAATTTTTTAAAAAGATTTTTTGTCAGTCATGGGGCTTGAACTCAGGGCCTGGGCATTGTCCTTGAGTTCTTTCAAGGTTCTTTCAAGTTCTTTCAAGCTAGCGCTCTACCACTTTGAAACACATTTTCCAGTTCTTGAGTGGTTAATTGGAAATAAGAGTCTCACGGGGACTGTTTGGCCCAAGCCGTCTTCAAACTGGGATCCTCGAACTGGGATCCTCATCTCTCAGCCTCCTGAGTAGCTAAGATTTACAGGCCTGAGCCACCAGCGCCCAGGCAGATTTGGGTTTCTTAAGCCTCTCTATATAGACATACTCTAATCATAATCTTAACCAACTACACAATAAATGGCTAACAATGAATGGACACTGTATTTGAGAAGTAAGATTTCTGTTTGGTATATGTACTCATTCATTTAATCCTCACAACACTCATGTGATCTGGGTGGAGGTTCTCAGATTACTATGTAAGTTGTTTCCATGCTACAGTTGAAGACACTGAGGCACAGGGAATAAATGGCTGCACAGGACACAGGGAGAGGTTGACTCAAAACCCTTCATTCTTAGCTTCTGTAATATAATTTAATAACTTGTCAGAAGAGTAGATATAATTTAAAAGACATGTGCTACAAGCACTTTTAGCTCTGCCTTTTCTCCTACTGAGGGATCATAAAAACTTTAACAAAAATAATAAATGAATAGTAAAACAGGAAATGGAATCTAGACATTTAACATACTAGACTGCTGTTGTCATACACTTGAACATCTTCAGGGAATATTCCTAAGGGATACAATTTTTATACCATATAGATGTTTTCCTAAATACATAGACAATGTTTACTTTGAACATGAATTTTTCTTCTAATATGTATTTTGTGAAGGTCTATACATTCAGCATTACCAGTATAAACAAGTTCTTTTAACAGGGCTATTTTAGAAATTTCTGGCTTTTTTCTCCTCTAAGAAGTATAATAATTTTATCTAACTCAAAATCTCAATCATATGTGTTAGTGCCTTAGAAATAACATACTTTTTAAGTTTTCACTTGATAGAAGATGGGAAAAAAACCCTAAGAAATGAGTAAGAATGGGGACTTAAGAGGTAAGTTGCTAAGTTGGAGCCAGTGGTTCACACCTGTAATCCTAGGTAGGTGCAGAGGGCTCATACCTGTAATCCTACCAACTAAGGAGGCTGAGATCTAAGGTTTGAAGTTCAAAGCAAGTCTGGACAGAAGGCCATGAGACTCTTACCTCCAATTAACCACCAGAAAACTGGAAGTAGTGCTGTGGCTCAGAGTAGTAGCGCACAAACTTTCAGTGCAGCAGCTCTGGGACAGTGCCCAGGCTCTCTCTCTATTTTTATTGTGAACATACTGTACAGAGGGGTTACAATTACATGGGCAAGATAATGAGTACATTTCTTATCAAAGCATTGTAGCCTCCTCCTTTGTTTGCCCTTCACATCCCTTCCCAGCCTCCCCCCGCCCAGGCCCTGTATTGAAGCCAATGACTGACAAAAAAAACGATAAGTTGCTTATTCAGCTACTCAGTCTTCTAGATCTCATTCTGTCCCCTATTTCCTTCTTATAATATAGGTAAATGCCATAAAAGGAGATCTGATAAATATTTTGTTAATTTTTTGTAGACGAAACTATATGAGCTTCCACAAATAAAGCTTAAATTTAAGAGTTTTCCAGCAAGAATACTTACAGGCTTTAAAACGAGACTCACTTCTCACAGGACAAGTTCAAGTTGTTAAGACTGGAGAACTGAAGGAATTCTATTAAGATAGAACTGCTCACCTTACTGATGGAATACTATTTTATAGTATACTATTTAAGAAAGTTGAAATCATTCATAATATGTATTAAATCATCAAGTAAATGAGAACAATAAATAATCATCAGTTTCCCTAACATGTACCATCCCTCTCCTATCTACCAAATCCTTGAACTTTAAAATTTTTCTCTTTCCTTCCCTCCTCCTATATTGTTTTAGACATCAAGGTGTTGAAATTTAAGAGGTATTATTTATTTATTTTTTTCCAGTCCTGGGGTTTGAACTCAAGGTCGGGGAACTGTCACTAACCTTTTTCTCAAGGCTAGCACTCTACCACTTGAGTCAACATCACTTCTGGCCTTTTCTGTTTATGTGGTACTAAGGAATGGAACCCAGGAACAAGCACTCAACCACTAAGCCACATTCTCAGCCCGGTATATTACACTTATATGGAACACTTACCTAATTTTTTTTGTTGTTGTTGTTGGTTGTAGGGCTTGAACTTTGGGCCTGGGTGCTGTCCCTGAGCTCTTCAGCTCAAGGCGAGAGCTCTACCGATTGAGCCACAGTGCCAGTTCTAGTTTTCTGGTGGTTAATGGGAGATAAGTGTCTCATGAATTTTCCTGCCCCGGCTGGCTTTGAACCGTGATCCTTAGACCTTAGCCTCCTCAGTAGCTACGATTACAGGCGTGAGCCACCAGCACCCAGCTTATCTAATTTTTTATGTGGAATCTTTAGATACATTATCTAATTTGATCCTAAAGTATGGATTATAGTCTCATTTTATAGCTACTTTGTTTCCAGTTTGCTTAGTTAATAAGCAATAAACCTGTGGTTCTAAAGCCCATGTTATTTCTAATAGTTCACAGCTTCTGAAAGATTCTCATTTTAATATGCTTAAGGCATACTGTGAAAAATCCTAAAACAAACTGACAAAGAGATGAGGACAAAGAAATTAAGACCTTATAAGATCTTTGTTTTTATCTTTTTAGGTGTTTAAGTATATTTTTTCTTTCTGTCATCTACCTCTTACTCTCACCTGAAGGTAATCTGGGTCTGGTGCATTCCTTACTGCTTCATAAAGCTCTGCTCCATCCTGAAGAGCACGAACTTGCTGCCTTGTTAGTGCATGTGATGACATACTTGGTTTTGTCATGTTTTCTAGGAAAACAAAAAGCATCATAGTTGACAGATCTGAGGCTCATGGTTTAAAGCCAGAGCAGGTAGGAAAGTCCATGAGACTCTTTTATTGTTGTTGTTGGTTGTGGGGCTTGAACTCTGGGCCTGGGCACTGTCCCTGAGCTCTTCAGCTCAAGGCGAGCACTGTACCACTTGAGCCACAGTGCCATTTCTGGTTTTCTGGTGGTTATTTGGCAGTAAGAGTCTCATGGACTTTCCTGCCTGGGCTGGCTTTGAACCATGATACTCAGATTTCAGTCTCTTGAATAGCTAGGATTATAGTGTCACTGGTGCCCAACCCATGAGACTCTTATCATCAATGTACCACCAAAAAAGTTGGAAGTAGAGCTGTGGCTTAGGTGATAGAGCAAAAAAGCTCAAGGACAATGCCCAGGTCTTGAGTTTAAGCCCCAAACAGGTGTGCACACATACACGCACATCCATGCACACTCATGTACACACATGTGCGCGCGCTAGCATACACACACACACACACACACACACACACACCACTAATTAGTTAAAACAAAGACAAGTCAAGTAAAAGGACCTCAGGGGGAGATTAAAACATTAAAAAATAATAAAATCTACAAAATTTTCTTTGAAAAACTGAACCTATTGTAATTGTTCAAAGTTTAGAGTAATTTTAGTTGAATGAAGGGGTCTCTTGTTTAGTCATGAAAATAAGTTTCTTTAAAATAAAATACTAAAGCCGGGTACCAGTGGCTCACGCCTATAACCCTAGCTACTATAGGAGGCTGAGATCTGAGGATCGCGGTTCAAAGCCAGCCTGGGCAGGAAAGTCCACGAGATTCTTTATCTCCAATAAACCACTAGAAAACTGAAGTGGCACTGTGGCTCAAGTGGTAGAGTGCTTGCCTTGAGCTGAAGAGCGCAGGGACAGCGCCCAAGCCCAGAGTTCAAGTCCCATGACCGACCCGCCCCGCCCCCCCAAAAAATACTGAAAATCTAACCTATCTATAGATTTACATAGCTTATAAAGTTATATAAAGTTATAAAAAGGGAATCTTCAACAAACAGGAAGATTTAAAAATGTACATTTATGTCATTTAAACATAAAAATACAGTTGGATTCTGGTGGCTCTGCCTGTAATTCTACCTACACAGGAGGCTGAAATAGGAGGCTTATCTGCTTAAGCAGATAAAAACATGAGACTCCATCTCCAATTAAGTAGTCAAATGACAAGACTATAGGCATAGCTCAAGTGATAAAGCACCAGTGGTGAGCAAGAAAGCCAAGTGAAGCTGGGCACTGGTGGCTTACACCTATAATCCTAGCAACTCAGGAGGCTGAGACCTGAGGCTTGTAGTTTGAAGCCAGCCTGGACAGGAAGGTCTGTGAGACTCTCTCGCCATCTAACCACTGCAAAGCCAGAGTGGAGGGAGGTGTAGCTTAAGTGGCAGAGGGCTAGCCTTGAGTAAGAAAAGAAGCTCAGGAGTTGAAAATGTGGCTTAGTGGTAGAGTGCTTGCCTAGCATGCATGAAGCCCTGGGTTTGATCCTCAGTACCACATACACAGAAAAAGCTGGAAGTGGTGTTGTGGCTCAAGTGGTAGAGTGCTTGCCTTGAACAAAAGAAGCTCAAGGACAGTGCCCAGGCCCTTTCTCAAGCCCCAGGACTGGCAAAAAAAATAAAAAAGAAAAGAAGCTCAGGGACAGTGTCCAGTCCCTGAATTCAAGTCCCAGGATTGGCACCAAAAAAGGAAAAAAAATAAAGCCAAGTGAAAGCTTGAGGCCCTGAGTTCAAACTATGGAGTGCATGCATGCACAGGCAGACACACAAAATTAATCATAAAAGCACTGACTTTTATTACGCAAGTTGATACTGCAGAGGTATTATGTTCTAGTTCCTTGTACATCAACACATGAAAACTAAATCCAATGAAAGAAGTATAGTGATGTAATAAGAACACTGGAGTTGGGGATGTGGTTTAGTGGTATGGAGAGTGCTTGCTTAGCATGCATGAAGCCCTGGGTTTGATTCCTCAGTATCACATACACAGTAAAAGCTGGAAGTAGCACTGTGGCTCAAGTGGTAGAGTGCAAATCTTGAGCAAAAGAAGCTCAGGGAGAGTGCCCAGGCTCTGAGTTCAAGCCCAGGACTGATAAAAAGAAAAAGAAAAAAAAAAAAGGCTTATAGGAAAGGGAAAGTAACCTGATATTCTCTCCGTCATTGCTCCTTTTTTCCTAATATTAAAAACGGATTCTCTAGATATGTGAGTCCTGAATCTTAAGAAAGACTTTGCTTAAGGTTCTGAAGAATGCTGAAGCATGTTATTTTGTACTCTCCAAGACAATTACTAGTATCTGAAAGCTTTGTGTTTTGAAAGAAGATAGATAATTCAGAATCAGTTCAATGTTATTTCTGAAAGATATAATATTTATAAATAAAATTCAGAGGTAGAATTAAGAGAGAATCTATTACTCAAAGACAAGTTGCTTAATAATAAATATTGAATTAGAAGTCTCTGTAATTTTCTTCTTTTTGTTCAAGACTCAGACTCTTTTTGTTCAAGACTGGCTGGCATTCTATTACCTGAGCCATGCCTCCAACCCCATTGGTTGTTTTTATTTATTTATTTTTTGTCGGTCGTGGGGCTTGAACTCTGGGCCTGGGCGCTGTCCTTCAGCTCTTCAGCTCAAGGCGAGCGCTCTACCACTTGAGCTACAGCGCCACTTCCGGTTTTCTGATGGTTTATTGGAGATAAGAGTCTCACGGTCTCTCCTGCCCAGGCTGGCTTTGAACTGTGATCCTCAGATCTCAGCCTCCTGAGTAGCTAGGATTACAGGCGTGACCCACCAGCGCCCGGCTTCCATTGGTTGTTTTTATTCCCTGAAATTGGGACTTGAACTCAGTATCTGATGCTTTTGTTGTTGTTGTTATTGTTGTGGTCATAGGACTTGAACGCTGGGCCTGGGCACTGACCCTGAGCTCTTCAGCTCAAGGCTAGCACTCTACCACTTGAGCCACAGCACTACTTCCAGCTTTTTTCTTTTTGCTTATGTGGTGCTGAGGAATCGAACCCAGGGCCTCAGGCATGCAAGGCAAGTGCTCTACCACTGAGCCACCTTCCCAGCCCCCTAAAACATTTTTGTCTGTCACAGGACTTGAACTCTGGACCTGGGCACTGTCCCTCAGCTCTTCAGCTCAAGGTGAGTACTCTACCACTTGAGCCACAGTGCCACTTCCGGTTTTCTGATGGTTAATTGAAGCTAAGAGTCTCATGGACTTTCCTGCCCAGGCTGGCTTTGAACTGCTATCCTCAGACCTCAGCCTCTTGAGTAGCTAGGATTATAGGTGTGAGCTACTGGTGCTTAGCTCTAAAACATTTTTACATGAAAAAAATCTGTATAATGTTTAACTAACTCATTTACCTTCATGCTTTTCAAATTCTGTTTGAATTTTAGTGAATAAAGCTTCTAGTTTCTTTTGTTGGGCCTCTGCAAATTTTGTTGCTTCCCTTTCTTCTTCTCTTTCATTTCGAAATATATACAATCCAGATGGTGTCTTCTCCATCCACTGCAGAAGAGTTGTATAAGAAAAAAGTATAACAGAGAGGGAAGATTCAAATTAATTGTTCCAAAAGAAAAAAAAAATTAAAAAATTAAAAAAATTTCAACAATATCATACCTGTATAGGATATACTCTTTGAACAATGACATCAGCACAACCAACATTTCCTCCATCACTGAATAATGATGACAAGGGCAGAGGGAAAGGTCTAGGATCAGGAAAGAATCCAAGTTTGGTGTGCCAACAGGCAGGCCGAGTACTATTAGCTGAAATCTGCACAAATTCATGAATAAATCACTTTAGAAATTCAAAATATGCTCAACTGTATTAGAACTTTCATAAGTTTTCATGCTTTTAGGTCTGCTTTTAATAATCTCATGAGGATTAGTAAAAAGTGATTATGTGGAAAAATAAAAATAATTTCAAAACAGTACTTAAAATATAGAACCTTGATGTTTATTTACCAACTGTAAAAAATATTTCTAAGGCTGTTACCTAAATATTTCTACTGGTTAAAAAACTTCAATTTAGACATGGTGGATTAAAATGTATTTATTTACCTAGATTTCCTAAAATCCCACAAGTATAAATAGAACTAGAAAACACAGAAAATGAGACATCTTCAAAAGGTTGGAAGCTAAGTATTTGATGGACAAGTAAATGACAAAAGCAGTCTGAGAATAATTATGGCTAATAAAAACGGCAAACACTGGGCTAGGGGTATTAGCTCAGTGATATAGTACTTACTGTGGTACCTGATACTTGGCATGGTGTTAAGTGCTTTATAGCTACTATTTGTTTTTTTTTTTGGGGGGGGGGAGGGGCTTGAACTTAGGGCCTGGGTGCTGTTCCTGCGCTTTTGTGTTCAAGACTAGCTCTCTTACCACTTCAGTTACAGCTCCACTTCTGGCTTTTTTGAATTTAACTAGAGATGAGTTTAATGAACTTTCTTGCCCTGGCTAGCTAAACTGGGGTCCTCAGAGCTCAGCCTCCTAGTAGCTAGGATTACAGGTGTGAGCCACCAGAACCTTGCTAGGTACTAACATTTAATCTTTATCACAACGCTGAAAGTTATCTCCACTTCACAAAGAATAAAACCAAAGTATAAAGAAAAATCACTTAACCTGGCCAAGATTACTCAGCCAACAAACTTGTTGTAAGAAGCCTATACAACACAAAATAATTCAAAGAACACACTCAGAAATTGGAGGCTAAAAGTACTTCTGTAGGTAGGAGCATAAGGCGGGGCAAAAGACAGGATTGGAAAGAGTTAAAGTCTGTACAGGTAGCTCAGACCCTAAGCATCCAGGTGGCTGTTCCTCTGCCTTACTACAAACCAACTGAGGGGGCTTCTCTTTTTGGAGAGACTGAGCCACATATAACCTGACCACAAAGGTGGCAAAGGGTAAGGGAAATGTATTGTTATACTGAAAACAAAACTAAAACCCATATGCTGACAAGTTCCTCTATTAGTATCTTTATTTTGTTCAACTCTTAATAGTCACTAATGTCCCACTGAGAAGTTTCACTTTGCCATGAATTCCAGTCAGTTGACTGATTCTCTCTCTGGAAGATGACTTATCAGACTGTCATCATGGGTTTAAGGCAAGTCTCTGACCTGAGAGACCCAAACAAACAGAAAAAGAGGTACTCACAGGTAAAAATGGCAGAGAGGAAAAAGAAACAAAACACACCTAAAACTCAACATTATTCAACAACTTCAGAAACATGGAGTGAGATTGAAATCTACAAAATAAGAACCAAATGTAGTAATGACCACAAAAAAATGTAGGGAATAATAAAAGGGAGACACAAGCTTCACTTAAAAGATTTAAAGAAAAAATAAAATTACTCTAGAAAGCAGGAAAAGAGCAGAAGACAAAACATAGAAGCCGGGCGCCAGTGGCTCACACCTGTAATCCTAGCTACTCAGGAGGCTGAGATCTGAGGATAATGATTCAAAGCCAGCTTGGGCAGGACAATCTGTGAGACTCTTATCTCCAAATAACCATGAGAAAAATCCAAAGTGGCACTGTGGCTTAACTGGTAGAGCAGCAGTAGCCTTGAGCTGAAGAGCTCAGGGACAGTGCCCAGGCCCTGAGTTCAAGCCCCACAACCCAAAGCAACAACAACAACAAAAAAGGAGAAAATACACAGAAAATTAGAAGAACAATCTTGGAGGCCTACTGCCCAAATATCAGGAGATCCAGAAAAAGAAAAATGAGAGTAAATTCAGTTAAAAAAAAAAAAGACTCAAAACACACCTCTACTTCTGGATGTCTGTTTTGTGGGTAATTGGAGTTGAGTCTCATGGAGGGAGGGCGGGTGGGAGGCAAAGTAGAAAAACAAAGGAAGGGGTAACAAGTTTAACAAGAAATGTACTTATTACCTTACTTATATAACTGTAGCCTCTCTGTACATCACCTTGACAATAAAAAAAAAAAATCTAAAAAAAAAAAGCCTCATGGATTTTTCCTATCTGGCCTTGCTTATAACTGAGATCCTCAGATCTTAGCTTCCTAAGTAGCTAGAATTACAGGTATGAGTCATCAAGGCCTGGCTATTGCTTATTGAGCTTTTGTTTTGTGTAACCTGATTTACATGTTACTCTTTCTAAAGCATTCAACTACCTTGCAAGGAGGCATTTTTATCTGCCTTTTCTGTAAAAGGATGACAAGCTAAATAAGCTGCCTGAAAATTATGGTAATAAATGGCAATGCAACGAAATGAACCAAAGCCTAAGCCTGTATTCTTTTCATGTAGTCAGTGTATGTTTCAGGTGTTAGCCACAGCTAGGAATGCTATACATCAGGCTTTTGTGTCTTATTTATAATCCTTTATGTACTTTTGTGTATGTGATTATATTTATACACATATATATATATATATATATATATATATATATATAAATAAATCCTAATATATTTTATGTATTTTTTTGCTTATGTGGTGCTGAGGAATCGAACCCAGGGCCTCATGCATGCAAGGCAAGTGCTCTACCACTGAGCCACCTTCCCAGCCCCTATATTTTATATTTTTAAAACATGCATCAGAGGCTGGGTATATAGCTCAGTGTTCACCTGCCTTTCATATACCAGGCCGTGGTAGCAATCCTCAGAAAGGGACTGAGGGGGGAATGGCCCAACATGGAGTTAAAGCAAAATAAGTATTTTACCTTAAGCATGCTTAATTTACAAAATGCCTTCCTTAATTAGAGGGATTGAAAATACAAGAGAAGTAAATCATCAACAGTGTTACCTCATAAATAACTTCCAACAGCAACACTGCACATCATTCAACACAATACCCTGCGAATATGGTTTCAAATCTACACAGTGATGAAAGTTCATTTATTACTACATATTTGAGAAGTACTTAAATCTAATTCTCTACGGTGTAACTGGAATAGGAACTGAGTCAAGAAAAAGGGGAGAAGCAAAACTAGGAGAATAAAGGGCAATAAGGGATCTAGGTACCAAAACTCAATTCTGGTGCACAATTACTTTTGCTCTCTAATTCAAATTACATTAGCTCAAGAAATAACTCTGGTTCTCCCTCAAATAACTCAAACTGTCTGCCGCTTATATTAAGATTACCAGTATACTTTGAAGAAATGCAGCATCCTTAATGATATTAAGTGTAAAACTTCTCTAGAATTTAAGTGACTCAGTGACTGCTTCTTAGAAGAGTGCACATTAACCGAACTCACCTTTAACATAAGAGAATCTGGGGCTTCCAGAGGTGCACAGGCATCAGGGGAGCCTATCAGCTCTGCTCCATGAGTAATGATCTTATGTCCCACAGCCAATCTCCCATTCTTTAAGAGAGCTAGGAGCGGAGGGTCTAACTGGGCCTTGACAGAATACCATCCATCTGTAAGTTCGAGCATGGCCACATTTTTGGTATCTGCACCATCAGTTTTGTTGCTACAAGTTTCAGATGTACTTGAAATGATGTCAGAAACACAGAGAACCAGTGTCTTTGCAGGCGTATCATCCCTTTCCATGATCTTTTTTATGGCTGACCTTTTGCTTCTATCAATTTCCATGTCATATCTAAAAGTAAAAACCAAATGCCTACTTTAGAAACTGTGCATACAGAACTTCATTGTAAACAAAGTCACTGAAATATTGGGAATAAAAATTAATTTGTCAAAGAAATGCTGGGATGATTTAAACACTTTTATCGAGAAATGATATGTATTAAGATTTATGTTGTTAAAATATGCATACTAAAGGTAAAAATACTTTATTTGGGACTCCCAAATCATGGCTCAAATTAGCAATTCATATTCTTCTCATATTCCTAGAAGTTTTCAGGGGCTGGGGGTTTAGCTCAGAGGAAGGGCGCCCACCGGCGCACACAAGGCCCTGGGTTCGGTCCTCAGCCCTGGGGAAAAAAAAAACCAACAACCAAGAAGTTTTTAAAGGGGGCAGGGAGGGAAGGGGAAATAAGGGGGCATCTGAGAGGTGATGAGAGAACAGCTCTACACAACATGAATTAACAGTGTGCCATGGGAGCTGTAATTGACCACTGGCTTCTACATCTTTTTTTTTTTTTTTTTTGGTTTCAGTACTGGTGCTTGAACTCAGGGCCTTGAGCTCTTGCTATACTTTTTCATTCAAGGCTGATGAAACACACCTCTACTTTTGGCTTTTTGCTGGTAATTGCAGATAAAAATTTTGCAGGGGGAGAGGGGAGTATGGGAAGGGATGGGAAGGGGAAACAAAGAGGAGGCAACAATGCTTGATAAGAAATGTACTCGTTATCTTGCCCATGTAATTGTAACTCCCCTGTACGGTATTCTCACAATAAAAAAACAAAAAAACAAAAAACAAAAAAACCTTGCAGGTTTGTCTGGCAGGTGTTAACCTTTGACTTTCAGGCCTCAGCCTCCTAAGTAGCTAGGATTATAGGGCTGAGTCACCAGCATCTGGCTTTTTACATTATCTTTCACACAAAGTTGCAGGCTACAAAAGAGCCTGAATCATACAGCAGTATATAATTACTGAAAGCGATGCTTTCAACTTACCTGTACTTTAGTTGAAGAAGTACCCTTTCTGGGTTTAGGCATCTATTAGCAAATTCCTTAGGAAAAGAAAATTCCATAGCTGCCAGCTTCCATATAAGCCATCTGTAATGATTATAGGCCCAAGCTCTAGAAATAAGTTTTGGATCCACACCAGGGGTATCACACAGAGCCCTGAACAAACAAACAGAATAATGAAAACCACATAGTATGAAACTGGATTCAACAACAATGATTATTACCTGTATAAAAGACTCAACTGTGCAATATCATTCAGTAAGTTTGTATGAGTGAACATATAATCCACAATATATTTATAAATATAGTTTTGAAAAATATAACACAGAGCATACAAATAAAGTATTAAATTATTTAATGATGTAGCATATGAATGAAAACTCCATTTAAGAAAACAGTCAAAATAATAATTTCAACTCATAGAGGTGTTTCTGGAAAATGAGTCAATAATTTTATTTTAGATTATTTTCTTACTTTTCAGCAATACTGGGATTTGAATTCACAGCCTTGCCCTTGCTTAACCTGGCTCTACTACTTGAGCTACATCTTCAGCAGTGTTTTTTGTTTTTTCAATTTTCTGGTTATTTTGGAAATGGCATCTAGTGTACTTTTCTGCCCAAGATTTCCTAGAATCACCATCTTCCATATCTCAGCCTATTGAGTAGCTAGGATTACAGCCACCAGAACCCAGCTTTATTTTTCTTATTAAAGAGAATAGTTTTTAGAAATTACACAAGAGGGGCTGGGAAGGTGGCTCAGTGGTAGAGAGCTTGCCTTGTATGCATAAGGCCCTGGGTTCCATTCCTCAGCACCACATAAGTAGAAAAAGCCTAAAGTGGTGCTGTGGCTCAAGTGGTAGAGTGCTAGCCTTGAGTTGAAGAGCTGAAGGACAACGCTCAGGCACAGAGTTCAGGCCTCGTGACTGACAGAAAAAAAAAAAAGGAAATTATACAAGAATGATCTGCTATGTGTGTGTGTGGGGGGGGGGTTGAGGGGGTAGATGGGAAGGGGAAACAAAGGAGGAGGTAACAATGGTTGATAAGAAATGTACTCATGCTGGGTGCTGGTGGCTCAACTAGCTACTCAGGAGGCTGAGATCTGAGGATCGAGGTTCAAAGCCAGCCCGGGCAGGAAAGCCTGTGAAACTCTTATCTCCAATAAACCACCAGAAAACCAGAAGTAGCACTGTAGCTCAGGTGGTAGAGTGCTAGCCTTGAGCTGAAGAACTGAGGGACAGCACCCAAGCCCAGAGTTCAAGCCCCATGACCAAAAAAAAAAAAAAAAAAAATTGCATTGCCTTGCTCATGTAATTGTATTATAACAATAATAAAAATGTACAATACAAAAATGTATTGTAACAATAATAAAAAAAATGATCTGCTATAGTTCTGGTGTTTTCCTTGATACCATTCCCTCTCTTCTCAAATTTCTAATTCTGCCACATTTCTTGTTTTTATGCTTAGTATTAACAGGAATAATCAAGAGAACCTGAATTCAGTTCCCCCTCTACACCTATAGTACCTATATCTTTACATTTGGCACCTCCCTTATTTGTGTACTAGCTCCCATACTGTTATGTAATCAAGATCATATACTTAGAACATGCCTCTGCAAATGTATCATTAATATTTCCCTCTTTACTGGACAGTATCCATTAACATTAAAAGGGATTTTTCTTTGCTACATTAAAATACATAAGTAAACTAATGCCTTTTAATACAGCTCCTCTGAGTATCATTTCCTTGCCTGTTTAAATAACTTCTCCAAACTTCATGTTGAAACTTAACCCTGATATATGAAGAGGCAAGGTATACTGGTCTGTCCTTGAAGGGGATAATGGGACCCTGTTTCTTTTGCATTCTGGCCATGAGGTAAGGGGTTCTCCTCCATCACTCCCATCATTATGTGGTGCCTTGTCTCAGACTCAAAAACTAAGAGCCCACCAATCAATCATAAACTGAAACCTTTAAAATGGGAAACATTTTCTCTTTCTAAATTGATTATCTCTGGGTTTTGTTACAGAAATAGAAAGATACATAAGATATATAACTAGCACATATATCACATCACCAATTTTTCTTTCTGTATCTGGCAAAATTTACCAGCACATTTTCTGTTTTTTTGTAAAGCACACAAACCACCTTTTGTTCCTACTTTGCCTTCTAAATACTTTCCCTTTCTCTACCTTTCTGCTTGGCAATTCCTGAAAAGGCAACTGTATTCATTGTTTCTAACTCCTCTTCTTCAATTGCCATTTAACTGTACTCTAATCAGACTTTCATTCTACCAATCTAATGAATTATTTTTTACTAAAACTTGAATAATCTCTACAGTGGTAAAGGCACTGGGTCAATTCTCATTCTTCATCTTAACAATTTTCTCCAACAGCAACTGTCATAGCCAGATATTTTCTATTCCTGAAACTTGATCGTGTACATGCAATAAGTACACTATACTTTCTTGCATTTATTTCTAACTTTTTTGGTCGTTCTCAGTCTGTCAGTCTCTCCCTCTCTCTTTCCTTTTAAATTTTAAGACAGATGCTTGGTATGTAGTCCAGGCTGGCCTCAAACTCACAATCCTGCCAAAGTTTCCCAAACACTGGATGACAGGCATGTGCCACCATGTCTGGTATCATTCTCTTTTTCATGGCTTTAAGTTCCATCTATATGCTGACAACTCTCGAACTTCTCTCATACTCCAAAAATGTTTACCTACGTCTACTATCACATCTCAAGTTTCAAATATCTAGAGATGAGCTCTCAATTTCCCTTCCATCTTTTGCTCTTCTCAGTCTGGCAGTTACATGGCAACTCTGTTCTTTCAGCCATTTGAAAAAGAAATCTTTGGGGGCACTGTTATCCTTTTCTCATACTCTAGATACAATTCTTGAGCAAATTTTGAGGATGCCACCTTCCCAAAACACTCAGAATCAAATTGCATCTTACCAACTCCCAAGCCGAGTCCCATCAACCATCTCACATTTTGATTATAACAACTCTCAGTTTCTACCCTTGTTCCTATTTCTACAGGCCAAGGTCCAAGGCAGTCACAGTTGTTTTTGAAAATAAGTCTGACCACATCACCTTCTTAAACTTTCTAATGGTTTACTCAGAATAAAAAAATTGCTACTTGGGCTGGGAAGGTGGCTCAGTGGTAGAGAGCTTGCCTCATATACATGAGGCCCTGGGTTCCATTCCTCAGCACCACATAAGCAGTAAAAGCTGGATGTGGTGCTGTGGCTCAAGTGGTAGAGTGCTATTCTTGAGCTGAAGAGCTGAGGGACAGCGCCCAGGCCCAGAATTCAGGCCCCATGACGGACAAAATAAATAAATAAATACTTAAGGAATAAATGTCAAGTTTCTCAGGAATATCTCTGAGGTCCCATCTTTCTGCCTCTCCTCTTCCAACCATTCATGTTTCTTTCTGCTTTATTTATTTATTTATTTATTTTTTTGGGTCCGGTCGTGGGCCTGAACTCTGGGCCTGGGCGCTGTCCCTCAGCTCTTCAGCTCAAGGCTAGCGCTCTACTACTTGAGCCCCAGCGCCACTTCTGGCTTTTTTTTTTTCTTTCTGCTTATGTGGTGCTGAGGAATCGAACCCAGGGCCTCTGGCATGCAAGGCAAGCGCTCTACCACCTTCCCAGCCCTCTTTCTGCTTTAAACTCCCCTCCTTTTTTTGGCGTTGCCAAGGATCAAACCCAGGACCATGTGCATATTGACAAGCACTGTAGCACTGAGCTACATTCCCATCTCACCTATTTCTACTGTCTTCTTCCCCCTGTACTCCAACTATACTAATTTCCTTCTTTTTCTTGATTACTTTAAGTATGCTTCCTCCACCAAAGCCTCCTACGTGTTCCCTGACTGTTCTGTCATAACTTTCAGTAACACCTCCAGGCCATTTATAAAATGTCACTGACTCAGGGATGCTTTTGGGATGATACAGGAATAGTAATTTCCCTTACTCTACCACTTTTCTAACTTTTAACATGCAGTTTATTTATTTAAAAATCTTTCTGTCTTCTATCGCCTCTAAAATATGACTCAATAGGACAGAGATCTTTTTGTTTTGCTTTATTATCTATCCTAGTTCTCAGAATAGTACCTGTACATAGAAGGTGCTCAACAAATATTTGAATGATCAAAAGACAATCAATAGCTAGGTACCAATGGCTCACGCTTATACTCCCAGCTACTCAGGAGGTTGAGATCTAAGGATTACAATTTGAAGCCAGCTTGGGCAGGAAAGTCCATGAGACGATTATCTACAATAAACTACCAGAAAAGTCGGAAGTGGAACTGTGGCTCAAATGGTAGTGTGCTTTAAGCTCAGGGATAGCTTCCAGGCTCCAAGTTCAAGCCCCAGGACCAACACCAAAAAAAACTAACAAAATAAAAATAATAATAAAACAACAAAAACACTCCAAAAAGTTTCTTGAAAATTCAGGAAAAAAAAGTTTTACTATGGTCCCAAAACTATTAATTTTGGAAAGACATTAAATTTGGAAAGAGATTTTCAAGAGGAATGGTACTGGAGAAAGGATTGACATTAATATGTGGTAATATATCCTGATAGAGAGAAAATTATGTTTGTGTAAACAATAGAATCAAATGTGGTAATATATTTTCCATACTGTAATAGAATCAAATGTGCTATTCCTGATCTTTTTTGCCTAAGGCTGATGCTCTACCCATTGAGCCACACTTTTATTTCTGGCTTTCTGGTAGATAATTGGAGATAAGAGCCTCATAGAATTTCCTGCCTAGGCTGGCTTTGAACTGCAGTCATCAGACCTTAGCTCTCCTACTCAACAGCTAGGATCATGACAGGTGTGAGCCACTGGTGCCTGGCATAGTTGTATTTTACATTCACTAAATCTACAATATAAATGAGTAAGACATATTCTTGGGTCTACCATAGGCCAATTTAAATTTAACTTTCCCCATCAGTTTTTTTTTTTTGTAAGTGCATAGGAACAATAAAAATACATTCATAATCATTGTCTAAAATAATATGAAGCATAAAAATTAGATTTCATAATTACGCTAAAAAATTAAGATTTCTAGGTGAAGTGGCTCTTGCCTGTAGTCCAAGCTACTTGGGAGGCTGAGATCTGAGACTCATGCTTTGAAGCCAGCCCAGGCAGTAAGCTTGAAGTGGAGCTGTGGCTCATGTGGTAGAATGCTAACCTTGAGCAAAATAGCTCAGGGACAGTGCCCAGGGGCACACACACAAATTTTAGCCAACTTTTTAATTCAGGAGCCATAATGAAAAAGAAAAAAAGGCAATTGTGAAGACAGGGAAGACAGAAAATGTAAAAGTTAACATAAAACCTCCTTTTACATACAGTACCTATAAAATTCTTCTTTTCCAGCCTTTCCATCCTCAGACGGTATGAGCCATCCTCCATCAGCCAACTGAATTCCTTTTCCAGAATGTAAATCTTCCTTACTAAAATAATCCTCAGTGTGAAACTGAAAAGACTCAGCATTTTTGCTGTTTATTTTTATACAATGCTTCGAAATGCCATACATATAAAGCTGAAGAAATACAAAAATTTAATGAGTCAAATACATAAAGTTGTAGAATAAAAACAATTAAGCTGAAAGTAACCTTTTAAAACTTTGCATTTAAATACTAAATTGTTAACAATAAAAATATTTAGGTGGGCAGGGATAAGAGATGAAACTTGGGGAAAGGTGAAGGAAGGGGTGACACTGTCCAAAAAATGAAGTGTATGCATTACCTGACTTATGAAATGGTAACCCTTCCGTACAACATCTTAATATTAAAAAATATTTACTACTATAGGGATATAATTCAGTGGCAGATTATGTGCTTAGCTTGAGCAAAGCCCTGGATTTGGTATGTGAAACACACACATATGCACACACATACTCAAGAAAAAAATGTGTATAATAAAAGCTAAAGAGCTGGGTGCCGGAGGCTCATGTTTGTAATCCTAGCTATCAGGAAGCTGAGATCTGAGGATCACGGTTCAAAGCCAGCCCAGGCAGAAAAGTCCATGAGACTCTTACCTCTAATTAACCACCAGAAAACCAGAAGTGGTGCTGTGGCTCAAAATATTAGAGCACTAGCTTTGAGCCGAAAAGCTCAGGGAGAGCACCTAGGCCCAGATTTCAAGCATCACAATGAAAAAAAAAAAAAAAAAGCTAAAAAATTTCTAATGTATTGTATGTGACCTATAAATTCAATAATTCATTGCACTCTTTATTCCTTCTTGCTAAATCTGCAAAAGGGAGACACTGGGTTTAAAAAGAAAAAAATCCATTTGAAGCTAGACTGGGCAGACAATCCTGGTTAATTTCCAATTAACCAGCAAAAAAACAGGCAATGTGGATTATGTAGTAGAGCACCAGCCTTGAATGAAAAAGAGCAGGAGGCCCTGAGTTCAAGACCTAGTACAAGGTGGAACGTGTTCATGTGAGAATGTACACTCACACAATGAAGACTCCTAAGTTCAAAATAGAAAGGAGAAACAAGGGAAAAGCTTGTGTGTTTTTACATGGGCCTAGTCAATCCTCATGTTGAACCCAACGTATCTTTTTCTTTGTGCAGTGCTTAACTCTGGAGGCAGATCCTTGCTTTGGAATTATGGCCCTCCTGGTTTTAATTGTTGACTAAATTAAATAATGTACAAAATCATGTTGTCTTTTCTTTTGGGGAGTTATGAGGATTAAGCAAGATATGACTGATGCATGTAAAGTGTTAAGAGTGTGTAGCATGCAGAAGAGCCTTAATAAATTTTAGTTGTTAAAGTTATTATGTTTTCCAACTTTCCATTGAGAAAAATTCTTCCTATGTAGTAGTGGCTTAACCAGAGTCATTTAAAAAAGTTTTGTTTTTTTTTTTTGCCAGTCCTGGGGCTTGAACTCAAGAGCCCGGGCACTGTCCCTGAGCTTCTTTTGCTCAAGGCTAGCACTCTACCACTTGAGCCACAGTACCACTTCTAGCTTTTTTTATGTGGGACTGAGGAATGGAAGCCAGGACTTCATACATGTTAGGCAAGCACTCTACCATTAAGCCACCTTCCCAGCCCAGAGTCATTTTTTTAAAACATAGAAAGCTTGGGTATCAATCACTTGTCCTTTACTTCAAGATGACTATTCTCTTCTGCCTAGTTGAAAGCCCTTACAGTATGAGGGAAAAACAAAACAGATTACATTTGCAAGGTAAGGCAAAGGAAAGGGAACCTGCTACTGTAGGTTGATTTTATTCATTCACACTGGCAATTTGTTCATTCTTTAAACACAATTTGGAGATCCCAATTAATAACAAAAAGTTTCCTTTTGCTACAAAAGCTACTAGCATTGCAGACAAATGGGTACCTGCTTATGAGAATATGCAGAGGGAATTTGGTTTCCTACAGCTTCTTTCAGAGAGATTCGAGGCAGGGAGGATGTTTTTGCAAGATACAGACTGCCTGGTTGTGGAAAGATACGTTGCCTTTCTTTGTTCATAATTCGTGCAGACTGATTATCTCTGGCATTCTGAAGGCTTGTAATTAAATCTGTTAAACAATAATTTGCAAAAAATAAAAACACAAAAAGAATGTCAATTTTAAAAGCACAGCCTACTTTATAAAATTATATATTTCAACTTGGTCTGTTTATATGCAGAGAAAAAGGGAGTCACTATCCTTTTTAAGTTTTTAGAGATGAAATAATTTCAACTATATAAACAATTATTTTTGCTGTGTTTTGTCAGTCATGGGATTAGAACTCTGGGCCTGGGGCTGTCCCTCAGCTCTTCAGCCTCAGGCTAGTGCTCTACCAGTTGAGCCCAATGCCACTTCTGGTTTTCTGGTGGTTAATTGAAGATTAGTCTCATGGCCTTTCCTGACCAGGCTGGCTCTGAACCACGATCCTCAGATCTCAGCCTCCTTAGTAGCTAGGATTACAAGTGTGAGCCACTGGTGCCTAGCATAAATGTATTATTTGTATCCCCATTTTGGAAGAAAATTAGTAGTACCATTTAAAAAAAGTATATTCTAGGGGCTGGGGAGGTGGCTCAGTGGTAGAGCGCTTGCCTTGCATGCATGAGGCCCTGGGTTCGATTCCCCAGCACCACATAAGCAAAAAGAAAAAAAGCTGGAAGTGGTGCTGTGGCTCAAGTGGTAGAGTGCTAGCCTTGGGCTGAAGAGCTGAGGGACAGCGCCCAGGCCCAGAGTTCAGGCCCCATGACCGGACCCCCCCCCCCCCCAAAAAAAAAAAAGTATATTCTAATAAGAGCAGTCCTGGGATGTATGTCACATAGCTTTCTAAATTTGTCCCATTATGTGGCTGACTCTAGCATTATTTATTTTTTTCCTCAGTCGCAGGGCTTGAACTCTGGGCCTGGGCACTGTCCCTCAGCTCTTCATCTCAAGGCTGGCGTTCTACCACTTGAGCCATAGCACCACTTCCAGCTTTTTCTGTTTATATGGTGCAGAGGTATCAAACCCAGGGCCTCATGCATGCTAGGCAATCACTCTAACACAGCCACCCTCCCCAACTTTTAAAGAAATTCTAGGGGTTGGGAAGGTAGCTTAGTAGTAGAGTGCTTGCTATCATGCATGAAGACCTGGGTTTAATTTCTCAGTACCAAAAGCCAGAAGTTGCACTGTGTCCAGGATTGGCAGCAAAGAAAGAAAGAAAGAAAGAAAGGAGAAAAAGGAAGAAGAAATTCTACAAGTAGTTATATTTGAAAAGATAATATTAAGACTAATTTGAACCTAATCCTTGAATTTAGAAAACCTGAAACATAAGAAAAGGTTCTGTGGGCTGAAGTATATGCTAGCTTAACTCAAGTGTGAGGTGTCAGCACTGTTTAAAGAAATTTAAAAAAAACTTGGGATATTATTTAGTAAGAAAAATATCTAACCAAATGATAAAACTGTCACACAAATTATTATGCAATACCTAAAGGTTCTTTACACTTTGTGAAAATCATAGTTGCTTCTTGACAGGAGCTGTCTTTGCTAAACTGATGAATCTCACTGTTAATGTTTTTGCAATCACTGGAACCACATTCCTCTATTTTTCTTTGTTTTTGTTTTTCTTCTTCAAAATTAGTATGCTTGCTAACATGATGTTCATCTTTGTGAAGATGTGATTTCACTTTGAAAGGTGGGACAAAGACTTTGGCCAATTTGCCTGTAGTAACTGATTGTCTCATAGTTTCATTTCTTGTATTGGGAATTTTATGAACCAACTGTTCTGAATCTGGTAAATTGCTTGAAGATTTTTCCAGGTGTTTGTCAAGATGAGGTTTAGACAGAAATCCTTTATCAGGTGCAGTAACATTCGGATTCTGCATTTCTTGCCGTTCTTTAGTTGTGCTACATTAGGAAGAGAGTAAGTCTGATTATTTACTGGCACATGTACATAATATTTGGGAATATATATATATATATTTTTTGGTAGACCCTCAAATGCTTAATGGCAATCCTATTCTGGTAATTACTTTGTACTTGTCACAATTGCAACTGTAAAACAATACCAACTCTTTCCATATTCATCCCAGCATCTGACAACATACAACAGAAGGACCTGCCCAACATGAACTGTCTGAGTGTGTGGACTCTCCAGTTCTACCATAGTATTCCTACCTCCTTTACTAGAGAAACACCTATCCTTCCTCTTCTGTATGACTACCACCTTCTCTGGAACTCTCAGCCCCACTTAATAACTCAGTCCCCTTGGGAGCCTTACTCTGTCAGCCATTATCCTACTTTCTTTCCTTCACCTGTATATTCATCTTTTAGTTCTAAAAGTCTTACCCTTAAAACAGTTTTGTTGCCAGGTGCTGGTGGCTCACGCCTATAATCCTAGCTGCTCAGGAGGCTGAGATTTGAGGATGGCCGTTCAAAGCCAGCTGTGGCAGGAAAGTCCGTGAGCCTCTTATCTCCAATTAACCACTAGAAAACCGGAAGTGGTGCTGTGGCTCAAGTGGTAGAGTGTTAGCCTTGAGCTGAAGAGCAGAGGGACAGCACACAGGCCCAGAGTTCAAGTTCCAGGACTGACAAAAACAAAACAAAACAAAAAACAAAAAAAACCAAACCCACAAAAAACTGTTTTGTTGGCTGGGAATGTGGGCCTAGAATGGATGAAACCCCAGGTTCAATTCCTCAGTACCAAATAAACAGAAAAAGCCAGAAGTGGTACTATGGCTTAAGTGGTAGAACACTAGCCTTGAGCAAAAAGCTCACGGACAATGCCTAGACCCTAAGTTCAATCCCCAGGATTGGCAAAAACCAAAAAACCAAAAACCCAGTTTTGTTTATTAGCTTTATCTCTTCCTTAAGCTAATACTCATTGTAACCTACCCTTTATGTTCAATCTTCTTAAAGAAAGTATTTATATCAAGTTATTTTCTTCTTCTTTTTTTGCTAGTACTAGGGTTTGAACTGATAGCTGTATGCTCAAACAGCTTGCTTGCTTGGCTGGCATGATAACACTTTTAGCCACATATCCAGCTTGGCTTTTTTGCTGTTTATTTTAGAGATGGAGACTTTTCTGCCTTGAACTGTGAATTTCTAGGTTTCAGCCTTCTATTAGCTAGGATAATAGGCACCTGACTATACTAGCTGTTTTTATTTCTTTTACTTCCTCATTTCCATGCCGTGAACTCTCCTTTTGCCTAGTATTGACAGAAATTGTTCTCAATAAAGTTGCTAAAGATCTCCCACTATGGAAAATGATGATTTAGCTTTGTTACTACCATCACCACAGTATAATATGCATTCTCCATCCTTTTCTCTCATGTTTCTCCCCAGCTTCCCAAAGTATATAGTCAATTTGTAACATTTATGTTATGGAAGAAGGGAACTTTTTACAACTGCAAAAAAGCACATTTTAGGTATATTTTACAGATAAATGTGTTCTATTATTGTAAAATATATAGTCTCCCTCTCTTCCCTCCTCCTAACATCCCAGTCCTGGGGCTTAAACTAAGGGCCTGGTCTAATGAACTTTCCTTCCTAAGCTGGTTTTGAACTATGATCCTCACATCTCAGCCTTCTCAGTAGGTACAACTGATTATGGGCGTGAGCCACTGGTATATGTATCAACATCTAGTATATTTCCTATCTTACAACTTTTGCCATCTGTTGAGACAGTTCTTTAGATCTGTTAATGTTCAATGATCTTTAAACAGGATATAATAAAGTGCAAAGAAGAATGCCTAGTACAGAAAAAAAGCCCAGTGAATATTAACTGTTAATATCATCACTGTTATTTTCAACTTTACACTGTGAGAAATTGTAGCTTAGATAGTAATGGCTTGGCTTAACTAGATGCTTCTAAAACTGTAAAAGCGTTAAGAAGGTATAGGGTTATTAGGGTTACTGACACTTTAAATTCAAGGTGACTACTTCCTCACTTATCTATATAACTATATATACATACATTTCCTCATATTTGGATATTTTCCTATATATATGAATGTATATTTTTTAAAAGTTCCCTTTAAAAAAATTGTCATGGTGATGTACAGAGGGATTACAGTTTACATAAGGTAGTGAGTACATTTCTTGTCAAACTTGTTACCCCCCTCTTTCATTTTTTTCCCACTTTCCTTCCACTCCCCCCACAAAAAAGAAAAGTGAAGGAAGGGGCAGGACCAATATGCATTGTATTCATAAACTGCTTTGCTGAGAGACAATTCCTTTATACAATTACATAAAGATAGTAAAAAAAGATGCATTGTACTCATAAACTATAAGTTGAATGGTTATAGTAAAAGTAAAATAATTAAAAAGTAAAAAAATAAAAATAAAAAAGAACCCTTCTTCCTAAATAGTGTTTAAGTTGTTTTCATTAGTTATTCTTGGTTGTTTTATTTTTGTTTTTTCTGATGCCAATCTATATTCTGTTCATATTTAAGACTAGGAAGGGGCTGGGAAGGTGGCTCAGTGGTAGAGTGCTTGCCTAGCATGCATGAGGCCCTCGGTTTGATGCCTCAGCACCACATAAGCAGAAAAAGCCAGAAGTGGCTCTGTGGCTCAAGTGGTAGAGTGCTAGCCTTGAGCTGAAGAGCTGAGGGACCAGAGTTCAGGCCCCACAACCGATAAGAAAAAAAAAAAAGACTAGGAAGTCAAAGATTGTTTGGAAGTTCTTGCTATAAAGATGGGACTTGGGCTAGGAATATGTTTTAGTGGTAGAGTGCTTGCCTAGCATGCATGAAGCCCTAGGTTCAATTCCTTAGTACCATATAAATAGATGAAGTGGGAAGTGATGCTGTGGTAGAGTGGTAATCTTGAGCAAAAGAAGCTAAGGGACAGTGCCCAGGTCCTGAGTTCAAGCCTCAGGACTGGCAAAAAATAAAAATAAATAAATAAAGATGGCACTTGCTGATTGTCAGCTATGCTGTAGACTAACCAGAAGTCCTCAAGAACCAAAGTTTAGCTACTACCATTCCAGAAGTTGAGTGGGCAGGAAGAGGACTTGAGGGGAATGGGATAGAGCATTGTTCCTCAACACTGAAAGAATACATATTAAATTATTCTCTTGCCTTTGGTGCACGACTTCTGCCTTCCTTTTTATCTCGTTTGTTCTCTAATAAAGAAGCTCTGTATAGCCTGTCTGAAGCACAAACCACTAGTGTTGCTAGAGTGAGCCAAAGATTGTTTTATAGCTCACTAAGAAAAAGAATGGGTTTATAACTGTTTCATAAACCTATTATCAACTGATCTTCTGATTTTTGGCTCCCTTTTTCACCACTCATTTCTGAAGTTACATGAAACCAATTCCTGACTCTTGAGGCGTGTGCGCATGCGTGCGTGCGTGTGTGCGTGCGTGTGTGTGTGTGTGTGTGTGTGTGTGTGTGTGTGTGTGTGTTTTACTGGGGTTTGAGTTCAGGCCACTAAAACCATGTTGCAACCCTTTCTTGGTTTAGTTATTTTTCACATAGGGACTCCCATTTGCCTAAGTTGGCCTCTAACTCAAATACTACTACCACCAATGGCCTCCAGCACAGATAGAATTTCAGGCTTCCACCACCATGTCTGGCTGCAAGACTTTTTATGATGTAAAATGGCTAATTCTCTTCTATCCTCAATACTAGCTAGCATCAAATTGGTTTTCTGAATTCTTTGAAAAATTGAGGTCGTGGCCTTCTTTTCTAGTCTCCCTATCTCTTTGTAAATGTGTTGTTTTGGTAAATTTTTGGAAGGAAATATAATTGATTCTCTATATTCATGGACTCTGAATTTGCAGATTCAACCAAAAATGGATTGAAAATGATTGAGAAAACTAATAAAAATAATTGTGTTTGTATTGAACATATACAGACTTATTCTTTTGTGCCAGTATTGAAGCTTGAACTCAAGGGTAATTAACTCAGAGTGGAGCTGTGGCCTAAGTGGTAGAGCACAAGCCTAGAGTTGAAAAGCTCACGGACAATGTATAGGCCCTGAGTTCAAGCCTCATGAGCACCAGCACACACACACACACAAAAAAACAAAAGATGACACAAAAATTTATAAACACATCTTACCCAAAGGGTTCAGAGGTAATTGGCTGTAGACGCATGTACAATCTCCTATCTTTCATTACGCCTAGAAAAAAAATTTCACTATTAATGAAAATGGATTTTATTTTCTATTTTTATTATACATTATTATAGATGTTCACCCCCAAATTTTCAGACTTTGAAATTTTCAATGCATTTAATTGATATTTAGTAAATAAGAATTATTAAAATAGTTGATTTTCAAATTATGACTATATACCAAATAAATCACAGTACAAACATATAGAGGACTATATAACAAATCACAGTACAAACATATAGAGGAAGTTATAAATTTTGTCAGTTGATGTTAATAATCATAATTCAAAAGTATTAGCCAACTGCCAATGTAAATATCAGATCTAAAGGTTCAAATGTAAAGCTTTATTCACTTTTATTATGTAACTTATACCCATCAAACCTCTAGTTAGTCATTTAATTAGGACTGGCTGATTAGGATATACTGATAAAGCCAGTGATCAAGCACTATGTAACCACAAAAATGTAAGAAAAGTGATGAGAATGAGTGTGTATACACACAGACACCCACATATACACTTCTTTTTACAAAAAGAAACGTTAAAAGGATAAATTGAAAGCCATGAAAAAAGAGGTGAGAAAATTAAAAATAGTATGAAGTGACAGGGATGAAATTAAGACTACTCCAAGTATATCTTTCTATATGTCTACAAATGTATTATGGAAATGGTTTGCTTATTCAAATGTAAAACTAAACAAGAAACAGAAAATCCTAGACTGGAAACAAATGGAAGGAAACAAGATTAATGATCAAATTGGTAAAGGTAAACTTACACAGAAGAATTACTCATATTGACACTGGAACACAAGTATTCCAACTATAGAAAACTACAGAAAAATTTTTAGAAAATATTTTTATTAACAGTAATTCTTTAATTCATTGTACAAAGATGTTTCATTGTGATATTTACATATACTTTGCTCAAATTCACTGCCATTATTATTCTTTGTATCCCTCCTTCTGCTAAAGTTCCTTTTTAATATACATATATACAATGTACCTCTATTATATTCACCCTTCACCATCCTCTCCTGCTGGTCTCCTCTAAACAGTACCTCTTTCACAATCATGTCATATTATTTTTTAGTAGTGTAAATCTGCATATGAATGAAACATGTGACATATATTTCTCTGAGCTTGGCTTATTTCACTTAACATGACAATATATCCTTAATGCATTCTAAGGTTGAAGAATTTCTTAAATTTCCCAGGTATTTTTATCGTTAGTAGCCAATATTGATACTATGAATTTGAAACTTATTTACATACTGAGATTCTCAACAGGAAGCCTACAAAACTAAGGGAGAGTACACACAGCCCTTTTAGAAGATCCAAGCTGTTAAAGCTAACACAACAAGCACTGGTGGTTCATGCCTGTAATCCTGGCTACTCAGAAGGCTGAGATCTGAGGATTGTGGTTCAAAGCCAGCCTAGGCAGGAAAGTCTGTGAGACTCTTAGAAAACTACCAAAAAAGCTGGAAATGATATTGTGGCTCAAGCTGGTCTTGAACTAAAAGAAGCACAAGGGACAGTACCCAGGCCTGTAATTCAAGCTTCAGGACTGGCAAAAACAAAACAAAACAAAACCAACCAAACAATAACAAAAAAACTCATCTTAATACTAAATAACTCTCGGGGCTGGGAAGGTGGCTCAGTGGTAAGAGCGCTTGCCTTGCATGCATGAAGCCCTGGGTTCGATTCCTCAGCACCACATAAGCAAAAAGAAAAAAGCCGGAAGTGGCGCTGTGGCTCAAGTGGTAGAGTGCTAGCCTTGAGCTGAAGAACTGAGGGATAGTGCCCAGGCCCAGAGTTCAGGCCCCACAACCGGACCCCCCCCCAAATAAGTAAATAAATAAATGCATGCTTCCTCCTTTAAAAAACAAAACAGAAACTGTTCAGTCTAGTGGTAGAAATGAGGGTGCTAGGGCATTCATATTAGTCTCTTAATTTTTCTGTATGTGAAATGTTCCTAATAAAAAATTTAAAGCTGGGCATGGTGGATCAGCCTATAATCTCAAATACTAATGGAGAGCAGAACTTGTGGTTTTCTTTTTTTTGAGACAGTCTCAATATATGGTTCAGGTAGCCTTAAAACTCATTATATACCCCGAGCTGGCCTCTAACTCATGATCTCACTGCCTCAACCAATCTCCCCAGTGCAAGAATTATAGGCATGTACTACACTTAGTAATTTTTTTTTTCAGTGCTAGGGGCTGAATCCAGGGCATTGTAGACACATCGTGTGTGTGTGTGTGTGTGTGTGTGTGTGTGTGTGTGTGTGTGCAGACACACTGTGTGTGTGTGTTTGTGTGCACATACAGGTCCTGAGGCTTAAACTCAAGGCCTGGGTAATATCCTTGAGCAATTTTTGCTTAAGGCTAGCACAGTATCATGGAGCTACAGCTTCACTTATGGCTTTTGGGTGGTTAACTGGAGATGAGTCTCATAGACTTTCTTACTTGGGTGGGCCATGAATAGCAATCCTAAGACCTCAGCTTCCTGAGTAGTTACGCTTACATGTGTGAGCCACCAGTGCTCTACTCAATTCATCTATCTATCTATCTATCTAACTTTTTTTTTTTGCCAGTTGTGGGGCCTGAACTCTGGGCCTGGGTTCTGTTCCTCAGCTCTTCAGCTCAAGGCTAGCACTCTACCACTTGAGCCATAGCGCCACTTCTAGCTTTTTCTGTTTATGTGGTGCCGAGGAATCAAACCCAGGGCCTCATGCATGCAAGGCAAGCACTCTATCACTGAGCCACCTTCCCCAGACCCAATTCTTATATTTTTGAAGGTAGAACTTACATGATTTAGTGATGGGCTGGGTATGGGGAATGAGAAAACAAAAGAATACAAATAACATCCTGTTTTGATGTGATAAGTTGGCAGAATAGTATTGAGAAAGGAAAAACAACACAAAGAACAAGTCTGGAGTACGAATGGAATGAGGATTCAACATTAGCCATAGGAAATTTGAGATGAAATTCACTGTATTTTAATTAGATGTGTAAGTAGGCAAAAGAGTGAGTGTGGAGCTTGAGGTCAGGCTAAAACTTACTGATATAGCTTTGGTAGCCAATGAAATTTAGACAGAGATACAAAGCTAAAGAAATTTAGAAGAGACACAGGGATCCCTGGGGTATTCTTGTTTAGAGTAAGGAAAGAATTAAGGAAGAACCATAAAGATGACTGTAAGAGCTGGGTGCTGGCAGCTCACACATGCAATCACACTGGGGATAGTGTTGAAACCAGCCCATGAAGGAAAGTCTCTGAGACTCTTATATCCAATTAATCACCAAAAAGCTCAAGGTGGAGCTGTGGCTCACCTAAAGGGTCAACCTAAGGGGCAGTGCCCAAACTCTGAGTTCAAGCCCCAGTGCAGACACTAAAAAGAAGACTGTAAGAGAACAGTCATATAAGAGAAAAAAGAGACTAATTATGTGGAAAAAGTGATTTAACTATGTCTAATATACCTGAAAGAAAAGGTCAAATAAGGACTGAGAAATGTCCAGCTGTCAAGATAAAGTCTACCATGTGACTTAGGAAAGCTGATTTTTGTGGAATGACAGACATCAAGTCTAACTGGACTCAGGAACCTGAGATCTGAATTTACTAAATTGCTTTCCAAAATCTTTTAGCCTTTTATTAAATTGTCAGTATTTTAGTAATTTCACAATTTCCACTTACAAACAACCTCAGCATCATACTAGGAAAAGTCCACTTGACAAACAGGGCAAGATGTAAGTTTACCAGCTAAGCCACACTGTAAAATCTTTTCTAATAGATACACCCAAAACAACTGAGAAAGGTAACTTCAAGAATACTATGCATAGTTTAGGAATGGAAAGGCTTGGAAAAAATTATATTAAGTGAAGTAAGCCAAGCCCAAAGAAACATAGGTCCCATGGTTTTCCTTATTTGCAATATCTAGTATATGTCTGAGTCAAGCAGAAAAGGTCAGATAAAGTGATGTTAGGGAAATGAACCCTAAGATATGTATTCAAATGTTTTTTTTCTTTCATGTGATTGTTTCTAACACATTTATAAGATTATTTCATTGTTGCTTTGTATGTCCCTCCCCCACAGTATAACCCGTGCTTTCACTGTATTTGATGTCGGTATAATTTGTGGAGGGGAAGGGGAAAAACAAGTCGTTTAAATAAGGATACAGGTGGACTTGTTGCAACAATGAGAACTACAAGTCATTATGTCGAAAATGAACTTTACAACTTTGGTGGGGGGTGGGGGGGTTGGAGGGAGGATGGGAAGGGATGGGAAGGGGAAACAAAGGAGGAGGCTACAATGCTTGGTAAGAAATGTACTCACTATCTTGCCCATGTAATTGTAACCCCTCTGTACAGTATTTTCACAATAAAATATAAATTTTAAAAAAATTAATAAAGAAAAGTAAAAAAAAAAAGAATACTATGCATAGTTATTTAGCAAGTTTTACCATCTGGAGTGCTTTTTAAAGCCTTTAGAGATTTTTCTTCACGTTCCATTATCTTGTCAAATTCACTTAACAAGTTTCTTTTGATTGGAGGTTCTTCTAAAAAGAAATTTCAATACATGTTTGTTAAGTATGTCACTCTCATTTTTCAAAAGCCTATAGCTCATTTTAAAAAACTAAAGTACTGATTCTTACATTATGTTAAATTACATAATTATAATTTTAAAAAGCAATCATTGTACTTTGAAAGAAAAATTGTCAATTTAACTTGTACTACTTTTAAAATACTACTATTTTAAAATACTACTATTTAATGAGGCCTACAGGATGAACAGATATTGCCATATACCAGATTAAATGTAATTCTAGGTTTACTGGCAATGAGGACATACAAAATTTCTTCAAACTCTTTTTGGGAGAATATAAAACTCAAGAAATGAAGTTATTATATAGGGCTTTGAAGTTAGTAAATAGATTTTTAAAATATTATCAAATTATATTAAAACATTAGGAATAGCAACATTTACTTAAAAGTTCTACAGAGGCTAAGATGAAACCACAACTCAAATTATGCATCTCCATGCCAAATTATGCATTTCCACTGAGTTATGTGGCAACAGCACTTCCATTTTTTTATGCTTTCTTATGGGGAATGAATTTGTAAGATTTAATAAGTGAAAATATCCATGTAAGGCTTGATCCATATTTTAAAGTGGTTCAGAAAAGGTTCTGTGTGGTGAAAATAACCAGAGGCTGCTGAAGCTATATAGAAGTGAGAACAGAAGCAAGGAAAATTAAATAGTAACACATCGTCACTGGTAAGAATGTGTAGAAGTCCAAGGTGGTAGAAAGCCACCCCACTCAGACACACAGAATAGGATGGGTTGCTATAAAGCCAACATTTCCCACAAAAGAATTATGAATATCTTAAAGCATATGTACTTTAGAATTTTGTTTTAAGGAACAACAAATAATTTAAGGTATTATATTCCTATGCTGTGCTCCTGTAGTAAGGTTCATAGAATGTGACCTGAAGAACACTAGACAAAGTAAAACTGTAGACAGATGAGGAAAGTGATAGGCTTCAAAGTTTTTTAGTGATATAATAGGGAGAAATATAACTCAAATAGTCTATGAATTTACAGATTTTAATGGAGCTAGTATTTTCAAGATTATCCACTTGGGAACTGAAGAGTTAGTTTTAATATTTACTTTAATTGTAACTACTAGTTGATAGATTTGATAATTTGACATTTCTCGTACAGCCAGTAAAAAAAAAAAAAAATTCCTTCACTTAAATCATTAAAAGAAAAGTTAGTACTGGGGATATTGCTTAAGAGTTCAGTCTCTAGTACCTCTATAAATAAATAAATTTAGACTATAGTCAAAAATAGCACTAAGAATGGGCTGTTACTTAGTAATAGCAACTGCTAGAAAACTTTGTAAATGAAAAATATGAAGCAAGCCAACATTTACCAAATTGACATACAATATTTTAATACACTATTAATATACTATTATATACACTATTAATTTACATACACTATTTTATGTTCACAATTACCTTGTGAGAGGTAGTTTCTATCTATCTATTGTTATTATAAAGGTGATATACAGAAGGGCTGCAGTTATATTAAGTCAGGTAATTAGCACATTTTTTTTTTTTGGACATCACCCCTTTCCTCACTCTATTAGCTATGGTTTATAGATGTGGAAACTGAGATTCAGAGAAGTTAAATAGGTGGTAGAAAGTAGTATAACTGAATAGAATATAGCACTCAGAAAGTGATAATAACTAGAAACCCAACTTTCAAGTTTTTGTTTTGGTTGGTCATGGGGCTTGAACTCTGGGCCTGGGGTCTGTTCCTGAGCTATTCAATGCAAGGCAAGCGCTCTAACACTTGAACCACAGTGCCATTTCTGGTTTTCTGGTGGTTATTTGGAGATAAGAGTCTCACAGACTTTCCTTGCCTGGGCTGGCTTTGAACCATGGTTCTCAGACCTCAGGCTCCTGAGGAGCTAGAATTACAGGCGTGAGCCACCAGTGCCCGGCCCAACTTTCAAGTTTTTAAAGAGTCAGTTACCACTACTCTGTTACATACATGAAAACATTTAGTAAGTTAGCATTAGGCAGGCTTTCTTAAAAGTCAAACTTTTAACAGTAACTTCTCAATTATAACTATATCAATAATATCTAAAAATAGGATATTGTCACAAGATTTATAATTGCTAGCATTACTAGGGCCAGGATGAACAAAACACTTGCACAACCATAAAAATAATACATACCAAACCAGTTAAGGGCAATTCCTCTTCTTTTCCCAGTTCTGGAATTTAGCAAAACAATGTCCTCATTCTTGGATCCTGTAAACAGTGACTTTTTGACACATGCTGATGGTTCATGATCTGTTAGTTCACCATCTTCCATAAAAGCTTTGGCAATCTCTACTGCTTCTGTTTCAAAATGGTTTTCTGGATCTCTGGAGTAAGTAGAACAATCTTCTGCATTTGTTTTCACAGGAACATTAGAAAAAGATTTCTTGCCAACTTCCATTTTTATGTTTTTAGGCAAAGCTTGTTCTTTTCCCAAAAGATTCTCAGCAAGTGATGGGCTGGTTTGTACTGCCAATTGTTTGTCTTTCTTAGACAAATATGGAGAAACTTTAATAGCCTGATTTTCTGAAGAATCACTTTCAATATTAAAGTTATATAATAATTTAAATTCATTATTAATAGCCCTTTGCATTTTGGAATTTATAGTGTGTACTGAGGTTCTCTTATCAGTACAAGGAAGTATTTTTGATGCTTCTTGTCCAGATGTAGGTGAATGCTGCAAGGTATGTTCAGCTTTGAGTAAGTCGAATTCCTCGAACATACCCTTAACTCTGTGTAAGGCACTTGCTGAAACCACAACTTGTTTTCCACTTGCTGTATTAAATCCAGAAAAAGCAGCTGAATTTACATTATAGGAAAAGGACTTGGGGGGTGACAGTTCATTCTGGGGAAAATGCGCCATAGTCTTTTCTTCTCTTGTAAATCTCTCTGAATGCTCATTATTTTTAAGTGATTCTGTGGAAGCAAGTTGCTTAGTATTATCTTCTATCTCAGCAAACACCCGTCTTGCCTTTTGTAATGAAGCATCTGATACTTCTACAGATTTTCCACTTGCTGTGCTAAAAATCCCAAAAGTATTTTTAGAAGAGACTGATGGGGGAAACATCCCTATATTAAGTTCACACTTCTCTGGAATTTCTGAAACACAAGGTGATACTTTAGAAGCTTTCTCCAATCCAGATGTATCCTGGTTATGGTGTAAAATGCGTTCATTTTGAATGTCAGCAAAGGCCTTATGTGAATCCATGAAGTCATTATCTGCAGAGTTATTAATGACAACAGCCTTTGAATCGTCTAATGCCTTACCTGCCACGATTTTTGTTTGGCAAGTATCTAGTTTATTCTCAGTGCTTTGCTTGACTATATTCTTGCAGTTGTCAGTAAATACTTCTTCCACTTTAATTTTTTCATTTGAAATGCAGACTATTTTACCAGTAGCTGTACTGGATGTAGGTGACCCTATCTCAAAATTATTTGGATCAGGGGTAGCCAAATTCATGGCTGGATTTTTATTTTTGCACAGTGAAGAGTCAGTCACAAGTTTCTGAGCACAAGTATTTTCATTTACAGTTTGCAAGTGTATATTTGCTTCTCTAATAGCAGATACTACTTCAGAAAAACAAGTGATTTTCTTGTCTTTGACATTTATGACTGCCTCAATACCAGAAACACTGTTATTTTTTGAAGAATGTCCTGAGTATAGATCACTGGAATGACACAAGTCAGAATGGTATGAACTGCTATTAGATATACTACAGTTACTTAAATAGGCTGAATCTTGCTCTTCAGAGAGATGATTTTTGTCATTTTCAGTTACAATACGGTTTAAACTATTTTCATATGACACTTTTCCTACATAATCATTAGTGTACTTGTTTGCACGTACAACTTTGGCAGTATTTATTTCTTCTAGATGATCATCCAATTCTTCTCTAAGCCATTGTCTTGCTTTAGACAGTGAGGACTGACTCACGGGAATTTTTCTACCATGTCCTGTGTAAAACACCAAAGCTGTAGGTTGATTTGTGCAACAAGCTGTAGAGCTTTTTTCTGTTTCTTCCTCTATATTTTCATGTACTTTAACTTGCAAAGAAATATTCTTTGAGGTTTTGAGATTTTCAGTTTGCTCATACAAATTATCGCTTAGCCTGGGTAGTATCCTAGGTTCCCTATAAACAAACTTTTTATCATCTACAGAATTCTGCATTTCTTCACATTTGGGGACAGTTATTTCAATTCTCTCATATGTTAAATCAAGCCTTTCTTTAGAGTCTTCTCTGTACTTTAGTATCTTTGTTTCTTGATAACCCAAACTGGAGATTTTACCAACATCTTCTTTTTCATGAAAAAGATTTTTCACTGTTTCCAGAGATTCCTTGGCAATTTTTACTTTTTTCCCACTAGCAGTATGAAAACCCAGGAGAGTATGTTCTTTGATCTTTCCCATTTTATAGTCAGATGGTTGCTTTCCATTACCAACTGGGATACCTTCTTCTGATATTTTGTTTTCAGTCATGTCTGTTTCCCCATGACATGAAATATCCACTTTGCTCTTAATGATGCCAGAAAGTAATTCAGAATTAAAGGAATTTGAAAAGTTACTTGTTTCTCCCATGTGTTTATCAAAGAAATTTGAAACTTCACGTGAAGATTCTTCAGGGACTCTATTATTTTTCCCACTTACAGTCTGAAAGGTTTTATCAAAATCTTTTATATTTTGCTCCTTCTTACCTACAGTTAATTGTTCTTTATTAGAGGAATTGGTAAGACATGTTTCTTCAGCTTTCATGACTTCCAAACAAGTTAAGTCTGACAAGCATTCTTTAGTCTGTATGTTTCCTTCTTTTGTGAACTGGCTAGCTGATTTGACATATATATTATGCCTATCAGTACACTGCAAATTACTTTCATCTTTATGAATATAAACTTTATCATCATTCCTACTTGAGTCAGTGCCATCAGATTCTTGTAATTTACAAATACTTCTGCTCATATCAGTACATCTGTTACATTTACTTCCAGTATCTCTCATGTAATTTTCAGTATTTTCTTCACAAATAATGCCAGGGGTCATTTCAATATTATTTTGTAATATGAGTTGGCATTTACTATTTTTCTCATGTAAATTTTTATTATTGGTGTGACTTTCTATCTTATGTGCTGAAACAAAAGAATCATGACTATTACTGGAAGAAAATCTTGGCTCTGCTTCTACAGAAGTCTCCTCGTGAATAATGTCAATGTCACTGAATAGTTTCAAAGCTTTTTGCAGAGCTTCAGTAGAAACACTGAGTTTTGTACCAAGAGCAGAATAAAAGCCTCGAAACTCCTTTTCACTTTCACCTGTACTTTTGTTATAGTTTTTCAGTAAGCAAGCAGAGGTCTGTTTAATTCCGGCAACATCTTTAAGTTTCTCACTTCTATCTACCTGACCTTGAGATGAAGCATCAGAAGTGTGATTAGAGTCAGCCATCTGGTTTCCAGGCACTTCATATGTAAGATTTTGTGCTCTGTGGCACGGTTTTCTAAACTGTGTGAATTCAAATTGACTCCCTGATTCCTCTAATATAGTAGAAAGTTCTGTAACTTCTGCCCTTTGGCTAGGTGTTAAATTATGGTTTGCACTGATACCTTGCTTTAAAGGGGATGTATGATTATTTTCACAGTCAGGAATGAATGTACCACTCTGAACAGATGGAGAAACAGTATTAACTAACTTTGAGTTGGATATGTTAAGTCTGCTTAGCTTCTTTTGGTGATCTAATGTTAAGGTATTTGTATTTGCAATTTCAACACAAGGTAAACTAGTAGGATATTTTTCTTCAATATCTTTGAAGAGCACTTTACTCTTCTTAATGTTATGTTCAGAGAGTTTTATTTCTTTATTCGAAGCTGTCCTGAAGCCACCTCTAAAACTATGATCTGTAAGTGGATTTAAGAGCCCTGACCATTTGTCTTCATAATAATTATTTCGGTTTGATTTTATATCTTTTATATCCAAGGAAGAATTTGATTTTAACTCTTGACTGAGAGTTCTTTTTAAATTCTGCTTTGCACTATTTTTGTTCTCTTCTGTAAGATCATAGATATTATCTGATGAGCTAAAACCTTCTGTAATCAAAATATGGGCTGCTTGTTTATCATCTATGTCTGTATCAATTACCATCATACAGTTCTTAAAAATGGGTTCTTTTATACAACTAAGGTCTGCTTCCTCAGTAGTTCCTAAAACAGGACTGTTTCTTTGCCTCGTTCTTTGAGAAATGAAGTTATTCTCATTGCCTGGGAAAATTCCTTCTTCAGAATTTAGATGGACACTTATTTCTGAAATTAAAGAGGTTTCTTCTTGGTCTTTTTGGTTTACTGTTAGATTTTTATTTTGATTAAATTCCAACTTCACTGAAGGTGATGCTATTTTTATGCAATTTTCAGGTGGCAAAATCTCAGCTTTTTTCAAACTTCCATTTAAAACATATATTTCTGGATTTTTTTCCAAAGAAATGTTTTGAGTTAATTCAGTATCAGTTTCATAATTCTTAACCTTAAATTTCTCTGGCATTTCATATAAGTCTTTTCCTCTAGAAACCACAACTGGATTTGAAAGAGGACCTTTGGAAGTAGGAGTACTGGTGTTAGGAAGAACATCTAAAAAACTTCCCTGTGATTCAAAGTGAAAACCATGACATTCCATTTCTGCAGGCTGTATTACAGAATGGCATGCTGCAACCAATACCTTTTCTTTTATATATGAAACCTTTTGGCTTTTTGAAGTATCTTCACATTGTCTTTCCTGAAAGCATGGCAGAAAATCAGTTCCTGGCTTTTCTTTAATTTTTGCTTCTTTATAATTAAGATCCTCAGGTATTATTACATTAGCATAACTATTTTCATTGTCAGAATATTTCCTCAGAACTGTCTTAAAAGAGTTGGTTGGTTCTTTGGCCTCACTCTGTAAACAGTTTCTTCTAATAGAAGAATGCGATGAACCTAAATATAAGAACACAAAGTTATGAAATAAAGTACTATTAAACCAACTCAACAATTATCTTTTCTTAAAAATGTAAGTATGTAAAATGAGGATGGTATGCAAAACAAAAAGTGAATGCCAGATAAAAGATGAGTTATAAATACTCTATTTTGAGGTTATTGGTTGTTATAGCTGAACATGAATAAGGGTCAAGGTTTTTTGTCTGTTGATGGGTCTAGGGTTTGAACTCAGGGCTTCATGCTCATTAGACAGGCATTCTAACACTGTCTTCCTGCCCTTTTTGCTCTGGTTATTTTCAAGACAGGGCCAACACGAATCACAGTCTTCCTATTTATATTTCCTTTACTGCTGTATCAGGAAGACAGGTGTGCATCACCACCCCCAACCAACCTTTTATGTTGAGGTGGGCAAAGGGGAGGGGTTCTCATAAAATTTTCACCAGGGGTGGAATCACAATCCTCTCAATATTACTTAAGTGCACAAAAAAAAAAAAAAAGAGAGAGAGATAGTTATATATTTATTGAACAAACTAGTCGGATAGGTTTTAATGATGTGATTCTAAACACTGGTTTTCTGGGAGCATAGCTCAAGTGGTGGATCACTTGGCTAAGCAAGTTTCAGGCCCTAAATTCAAATCCCAGTATTATAAAACAAACAAACACCCATTGGTAATCAAAAGCTTCAACAACAACATGTACATGTATACACAATAAGATATACACATTGAACAGGGTGCCAGTGGCTCATGCCTATAATCCTAGCTACTCAAGAGGCTGAGATCTGAGGATCACGGTTCAAAGCCAGCCTGGGCAAGAAAGTCTGTGAGACTCTTATCTCCAATAAAAACCACTAGAAAACCGGAAGTGGTGCTGTGGCTCAAGCGGCAGAGTGCTAGCCTTAAGCAAAGAGCACAGGGACAGCACCCAAACCCAGAGCTCAAACTCCACAACTGATCCCCCCCCCCAAAAAAAAACAAACAGAAATATACACATTGAGATGTATTTTGAGATTGGATATAAAGAACACAGAAAAAGCAACAGAAGAAAAGCAGGCAATATGTTTTTAAGATTAAAGACTGAAACAAATGGACTTCTATAAAACAATATGCACGATTTGGGAAACACAGAAAAGGTACCTGAGTGAGCATCTGTAAATATAAGTGGTGCTTCACACTGGGATGAATGGTTTGTTGGTTCTGACTTCTGCAATTTTTGTGATTTTTTTACTTGACAAGATGTTTCATCATCTATAGCATAAATAAACTTTTTCTTCTTCTTTTTCAAACTGGATATTAAACCCTCAATTTTCAAAGTGACAGAAGTATGAGTGCTAGTGGCTGGGTGGTTTTCACTATCAAGTGAGCTAGGAAATAAAGAATCTGCCTTCTGGGAGCAAATAGCACGTATTTCCATTCCACTTTCAAGTGTTCCACTTTCTTCCTTAAAGTTTGTTTTGGTCAGATTACCTGAGAAAACTTCATCAGAAGTCTCTTCAGATGGCTGTCTTACCCTGAATAAAGATTTTTTGATACTTGGAAATGGAGAAACTGTTTGGGAAGTTCCAGGCACCATTTGCTTTGCTACAAGAAAGGAATCTTCATGAGATTCAAGCTGTTGCTCTTCATCTCTCTTATCTATCAGTGTTTCCTCTTGTAATATCTCTTCTGATTGCGGAAGACTAGAAATATGCAGCAAAGAATTTTCTGTATTAATAGACGTCATACATTCTTTCTCAGTGTCTATTAAGTTATTTTCTGAATTACCTTGGTCATAAGAAGAAATAGGCAATAGAGGCATTTTTTCCATCTGGGTTTCATTCAGGCCTGAGAGGTTTAGCTGTGACCATTCACAGTCTGAAATTGGTACAGCCTCCTTGGAGGTTTTGTTACTTTCATGGCCAAAGGGATTCTGATTTCCTAAGTTCGTATCTAAAGGATCATCATCACTGGGTTCCACTTCAGATGCAAATGAATATTTATCTTCTTTAACTTGTTTATCCTTTTCACTGAATTCATCAGTGCTTGTTTCACAGAAAATTTTTTTTCTAGTCTTATCCAATCTTGTCTTTTGTAGAGTTCCTGTCCTCTTTTTAGAAAAACATAATGAAAAACTATCTTCTTCAGAAAAATCTGCAACTGTTTCATGTACTTCATCTTCTTGGGTATCTGTCATTGATGTTCTAAAGTCACCTTTGTCACTACTGACTTTACCAAATGAATTCTCTAACACTTTCCCAAATCCTATTAAAATTTAAAACAAAAAAACCCACGTTAATGACATTTTATAACCATGTAATCTATTTTACTCACAATTTTTATCAGAAATAGTTTATATAATTTATATCTATATATGAGTGTATGTATATATATATATATATATATATATATATATATATAGTTATTTTGGATGGTAGTTTTTTTTTTAAATTATTCTTCTAAATAAATCCTAATGCCAATGTAACTAACCAAATCCTTTTTATTCCTGCTCCAATAGCTGATAATCTCTCATTACCAGCTCTACAGAATTAAATTTTACTTTTTTTTTTGGTCAGTCAAGGGACTTGAACTCTGGGCCTGGGCTCTGTCTCTGCGTTCTTCAGCTTAAGTAGTGCACTCTATTATTTGAGCAGTTTTTATTGGAGATAAAATCTCATGGACTTTTCTGCCCAGGCTGGCTTTGAACGGCGACTCAGATCTCAGCCTCCTGAGTAGCTAGGATTACAGCCATGAGCCATCAATACCCGGAATATATCTGTATTTGTTATATATTTACTTTCTAGTTAGAAAAAAAGGACTGTATAGTTTTATTAACTTCAGAAAACTTGAAGTAATAGGTTTTGCTTTTCTGTCACATATTGACTAGTTCTGCCTTAGCATGGCATTTAATTTTTTAAAATTTATTTATATTTTTTTGCCAATTTTAAATATATTTAAGACACTGCATTTTCTACTTACAATACAGTGCTTTATCAAGTGCAATGTTTATATTTTTCCCTGTGTACATGTTCCATATTCAAGTATTGAGATTGCCCAGTAATTTACTATAGCAGCTTAACTTTTAAAAACTGCTATAAAATTTATTTATATTTTTTAGGCAGAGTCTTATTATGTAGCCCAGCTGTCCTGGACCTATGAACCTCCTGTTTTAACCTATCAAGTGCTAGGAATAAATAGTGTCACTTAAATAGTTTCTCTCTTGACTATGCTGACCTCAGTAGTCAATAAAGCACAAGACTTGTGTTTTCTCTACAAGAAAAAGAATCGCTGGACTCAGGGTGTGGCTCAAGTTGGTAGAGTACCTGCCTGGTAAGCCCAGGGACCTGAGTTCAAGTTCTAATACTAAAAGTGAGAGGGAGAAAAGAAAAGCAATGTTGTCAATTAGAAATTATTAAAAAACACTAGTTCAACTAAACAAAATGACAAAACTTACCATGACTGCTAGCTTCTCTTTGATTTTTGTTTTCACTATTGGTTACAGATGGAATGAAATGATAATTTTTCTTCAGACTTTCCTTGTGTTTGGAAAAATAGTTTTTCAAAATCTGCAAAATTATTTTTCAAAATTACCAGTATAAACACTGTCATTACACAACTGTGTATATATATTATATGGTAAGATATATATCTAATATACACATATATGTATAGATAAATATACATATATATGAATGTTATTAAATAAGGAACATAGTTTTGTCAAAAGTACATACAGGGTCAACTTTAGAGACTTTCTAAAAAGCTTAGGTAAACTATAAATTAGAGAGCAAAAACTGTAGGACAGTCGATTTGTCAAATTATGAGTTCCATCAGTACAATCAATTTGAATATATTTACTTACAACAGTTGGATCATTAGGAAATATAGTTCCAGATGTTTCCTCATCTCTAACTGTAAAATAAATATGAAATTTATCTGTACTGTAATATATAATACACATTTACATATTACATATTTACATATTACAATTGCCACAAAAGCGTACATATTTTTACTTAAAACAATACTGTATTTTTTGATTTGATTGACACATCTGAATCTAATTTGATTGACACATCTGAAAAAGAATGAAAGGCCAATGAACACAGTTAATAAGCTATATTTATGTCCTTATTACCAGTCACAAAGTGGTAAGAAACAATTGGTTGGTAGTCTTACTTTCTGATAATGTCAACAGTGACTCAGAAATCAGATAAAACTGTAATATGAGTTATAAGCTATGTTGGGACTTCAGCATTTATTTAGAGAAGGACAGACTGAAGGCATATTTTATATTAAATAGTACATAGTTTAAAAAATACTTTTCACCTTTATTATTGCTATAAATAACAAAAGTTAAATTACTTCCAGTTAAAAAGAAATCAAATGGAATGTTATTATGTTAAAATCCTGGTTTAAGTGAAAACTCATGCTCTGAGTACAACCCACAGTAATGTAAAAAAATAAGAAAAATATGTATATATATATATATATATATATATATATACACATACACATATATAAACATGTACACATATATACATATGCATATTATATAGCATAATATATTACTGTGTATATATACATACATACAGAGATACATATGCTCATATACACAGATATATACTGCATATGTATACACATACAACTAAAAGTTTTGTAAGTTATACTATATATAGAAAAGCTGGATAAAGTACAAAATATTGAATTTGAATCTCAGATAAATATTTAATATGAATTTCAGATAAACTATGAATAATTTTTGAGTATAATTCATGAAATTATATACTAAAAACTAGACTAAACTACAGAGAAATATGGTAAACCTAACTATGTGATATATTTTTTTCTTTTTATTTCATTTTAGAAACAAAAATAGGTATGTGATAAATTTCATAACTATTAGTGCCATGGTCTACAATTTGATAAACAATGATCTAGCTCAGAATCTTCTGAGTGAAATAATGGAGTTAGTAAATACTGTTTTTCTCATTATCCAATTTTTCATGCCTTGCCTATAAACTATGAGGTGTTTATTTCAATAAACTTCCAAATACTAGCTCATGCTCTAATCACATTTACAGATATTAAAAAAACATATACATGTTTAATTTTATAAAATTACAAAACAACAATCAATCTTTCAAATATTAAGTCCTGATTTGCAAATTGCAAGTGCTCAGAAATTTTACCTTATTTATAGGAGGAAATATTTTTAGATCCTTCTAAGTTAATGAAATATTTATTAACTGACTCGTTTGATATTCTAAATGTCTAAAACTTGGCAATGAAATTTAAAGTAGATTCACTTGCATAGAGTTGTTTAATGCCACCTATGTGCTAAGAAACTATGGTGAGCCTGCATAGAGTTTAATCAAGTACAAAAAATGAGTAAAATGAACATTTCAGATGACATATAGATGTGTAAATAATTGTGAAATTTAAGTTATCAATTCAGTACTACTGGCAATATAGATCAATAGGGTAGATTTTTAAGTGAAGAGAGCAAAGCTTACTGAAGTTTTTTAATATTTAAAGTATCAAAATTATTTATAAAAGAAAATAACAATTACATAAAGTTTTAGTTCTTAAATGCTTAGATATGGAGGTAAACGAGTATGCATTTTTACAGATCAAGGACAATATTGAATATTTTACTTCTATAGAACACCACTAAATATATATATGATTAATACCATTTCACATGAAATAGATTGAAATTATAAACTATCAAAAATTCATCAAGACAGTTTTATCTAATTTTTTTCATATTTTCCTCTCAATGTAAGCATTAGATATGACAATTTGTCAGCCTTGTCTACTCTTTCTTACACAATGCACATTTGCTATTATTACCTATGAGCACAGTAGAACTAAGGGTTGGTGGTGTAGCTAAAGAACTTGACCAAGACATATCAGGATCTACTTCAACTCCTAGACTTTCAGAAATGTGTTTTGGCTTCTTATCCTAGAAAGACAGACAGCAGTTCATTTATTTCATAGAAATACGATAATTTAAAACATTGTTTCACTTAATGGTAGAATGGTCGCCTAGCATGCATGAAGTCCTAGGTTTGATTCCTCAATACCACATCAATAGAAAAAGTTGGAAGTGGTGCTGTGGCTCAAGTGGTAGAGTGTTAGCCTTGAGCACAAAGAAGCTCAGGGACAGTGCCCAGGCCCTGAGCTCAAGCCCCAGGACTGGCAAAAAAAACCCCAAACAAACAACAAAACATCATCAACAACAACAAAAAAGTTTTATTTATTATTTTTTTTTTTGGTTCCGGGGCTTGAACTCAGAATCTTGTGTTCTTGCTTGGCTTATATGCTCAAAGCTGGCACAGTAACACTTGAGCCAGAGCTCCACTTTTGAAATTTTGTTAACTGGAGATAAGAGTCCCAAGGACTTTTATGTCCCTGCTGGCTTCCAGAAATAATCTTCAGATCTCAGTCTCCTGAGTAGCTAGGATTACAGGGGTGGGCCAGAAGTGATTACACTTTATTCATCATTTGCTAAATGCATATGAGACACAATATGCTAGGTACAAACCTCCAAATCTCAGAGTAAAACTATTATCTCATTAGATAAAGATATTATCTCATTACCAAATTCTCAATTGAGCGCTTTGGTGCATACCTGGAATCCTAGCACAAACTAGAGGATTGAGGGAGTTTCAGGCCAGCCTAGGCTATGAAGCAAGACTATCTCAATAACAAAACAAAATCTCAATTGGTGCATTATAAATAATTCAAGAAAAATATTTACCTTCACAAGCTTTGGTGTATAAAGTAAACTCCCACATACCACTAGGGATGGAAAAACAGAAAATTATTAATTTCATTTTATTGACATTTCTATGATTCTAAAAATGAAGTTTTGGTTTTAAACATACCTGACTTTTCTCTCTGTGGTGTGACAAGTGTACATCGTAGAGCAAGAGGACTAAACAAAATGAAATTCCTCGGATTAAAAGAATAATTGTAAAAGAGACAAAATGCTAACCTTATTTTTTCCCAAAGATACTTACTCATATAAAATGCTGGAATTATGGCACTTTCATATATATTTTTTATCTGTCTTTTTTTTTTTTAAGTACAAAGTACCTCATACTTGCTAGGCAGGCATTCTGAGATCTGATAGCCTCCAGCCCTCACTTTTTTTTTAATGCTAATTTTTTTTTAAAAGGAAATCTCTCATGAAGAAAGTAAGCCTCATGTTGTTTAAAACACTGATTGACAGTGGGGCACCGGTGGCTCACACCTGTAATCCTGGCTACTCAGGAGGCCCAGATCATGGTTCAAAGCCAGCTTGGGCAAGAAAGTCCATGAGACTCTTATCTCCAATCAACCACCAAAAAACTGGAAGTGGTGCTATGGCTCAAGTGGTAGTGCGCTAGCCTTGAGCTGAAGAGCTGAGGGACAGTGCCCAGGCCCACAGTGCAAGATCCACAACTGACAAAACAAAAAAAACACTGATTGAAAGCAGTATGTGTAGGTAGATTTTTTTTTTAATTATGAAAGTGAATCTAAAATAGATCATGTTCCATCAAAAGATTCAAAGTAAACAAATCATTACTGTTAAACTAATATTTAAGTACTTACTGCTGTTTATCATGAATATTTTTGTTACTTAGGAAGTCACCAAGTAAACTGGGCACTGGTGCTCACGCCTATAATCTTAACTACTTGAGAGCTGAGATCCTGAGGATTGTAGGTGGAGACTAGACCTCAGGGAAAAAAGTTACAGATTTTCTGAAATAATAGTTGGGTGTAGTGGTCTGTCATCCCAGCTATGATAGAAGGAAAAAAATAGGATATTCTTGGATTAGATATGCACCTAGCCAGAAAGTGAGACACTATCTTAAAAATATCCGAAGAGCAAAAGAGCTACTATGGGATGTTAAGTAGAGTGCTTGTCTAGTAAATATGAGAAAAGACAGATGATTGAATATTACAAGGAAAACTAAGTAAATGTTTGTTTTTTTCTTTGATAACACTACTGGGGCTCAAACTCCAGATCTCAGGCTCTCAGTTAGCTTTCTGCTCCCACCAACTGAGCTACATGTTCATTTCTAGCTTTTTATTAATTTTTGTTTGATAGGATGGTTCTGAACCTCTTCTCAGCTTCCTAAGAAACTAGGATTATAGATGTGAGCTACTGGTGCTGAGCAAATATTTTTTTCCTTCAGATGTGTGTGTGTGTGTGTGTGTGTGTGTTAGAGCAAGCATGAGGCACTGTGTCATCCAGTATCATAAAATAAATATACAATATTGAACTAAAGCAATCAACTGAAAAGACAACTTAAACATAGAAGATCTTCCATCAGGCACTCAGCCAAAACAATTCGGATGAAAATTAGATTCATTTCTATGAAACAAATATGTTGGCAAATGTTTTACTTAAAAACTATAATATACAAGTTGGTATAAGAGAAGGGGTGACATTGTCCTCCCAAAAATGCACTCTTTACTCGACTTATATAATTGTAACCCCTCTGCACATCACTTTTGTAATAACAATAAATAAAAAAACTAAAATAAAAGCTGCACCATACCTTTCACTGAGACAGGAATTAAGAGATGGACTGGTAACATCAATTATGTGTTCCACTTTAGTGTGGCAATTTTTATGTTCATTATTGGCAATATCCTTTCCTGAAAGAGTACATACAATTCAGTATGTATACACACACATACTTTGAATTTTGAGTTGTCATTTTTTAAAAAGTACTTAAAAACAAAATGTCTCATCTATACTTAGAAGGTGAATATATGGGGGAATTGATTCTTCCAAAAGTGGGATGTCTCAAGAGATTTTTTTTCTCCCATTATATATCCAAATTAAGCCCGGAATGCTCAAGGCTCTCTGGGTTTCTGCTTCCAAGAGTTCATGATTTAGTAAGTATTCATGCAGAATACCAAGTAGAAAAGGATATATCCTACTATTAAGTTTCATACTGTACCATGGTATCACATGGATGATATGATCAGGGGAAAAAATATGAACTGAAAACCATCCAAAGTATCAGATCTGACCTCATCGAGGAAACTGTAACCACTAAGGTGAGAATAAGTATCTGTCCCTTCCATGTATCATACCTTATTCCCAATTTTCCTATTAGTTTGAGTTTCTGTGAGGCTATATCTCATCACTCTATCTATCACTAGCAACTACAACAATCCATCATGCTATGGTCAATCTGCAAATACTGGCTGAATCAGTAAGTTAAAATCAGAGGATGTTACAGACAGCAACACACAATGATTCCATTCTTATTGAATCTATCTATTTCTAAGACAATAAAACACAGACAGAATTGCCAATAGCTTTAGAAATCTCACTATCATATCCAATTTTGTATTTTTCAGCATTCCTATGTTCCTATGATATATTCCAGGATATCAGAGTCTCCAGGGCTTTAAGTACTTATTCATGTTTTTACTGCTTATTGGTGACTACATATTTGATACCTGAACAAGTTACAAAGTTTTTTGCCAGGAAATAAAAGAAGCAAAACTGTTAAAAACAGTTGCTTTAACTAGCCGTATAGTTTCTGAAGAATCTTTGAGAAAATAAAATGCATCAATGTTATTAAAGTAAAATGAAGACCAAATTAACTCAAAACTATCTTTTTTTTTTTTTTTTTGGGTCCGGTCGTGGGGCCTGAACCTGGGCCTGGGCGCTGTTCCTCAGCTCTTCAGCTCAAGGCTAGCACTCTACCACCTGAGCCACAGTACCACTTCCGGCTTTTTTCTTTTTGCTTATGTGGTGCTGAGGAATCGAACCCAGGGCCTCATGCATGCAAGGCAAGGCAAGCATTCTTACCACTGAGCCACCTTCCCAGCCCCTAACTCAAAACTATCTTAAGTAGCAAATTTTCTCATTATATTCTCATTTCTCAAATAACACATTTTGATGAGGTTAATCTGGACCCTAATGCTATTTATGATTCACAAATAGCTTGGGCTAACAAGTACACATCAGTTTTATTGAATAGGGTCTTGTGAACTTTTTTGTACAGGTTGGCATTAAAACTCGTCTCTGCCACCAGAGTAGGTAGGATTATAGGCATGAAATTCCACACATGGCTTTCAATCTCCACTTTGACATACCACTCAGTATCTTTTTTTTGTTGGTTGTAGGGCCTGAACTCTGGACCTAGGCGCTGTCCCTCAGCTCTTCAGCTGAAGGTTAGTGCTCTATCACTTGAGCCACAGCACCCCTTCTGGCTTTTTCTGCTTATGTGGTGCTGAGGAATCGAACCTGAGCCTCATGCATGCAAGGCAAACACTCTACCATTGAGCCACCTTTCTAGCCTCTTTAATATGATTTTGATGTAAAGATAATAAAAACTAACTAGGCCACATTTTTTTTTTTTTTTAAAAGATATGCCTTTAGTGATATTGGGAATTGACCTAACATGTGCTAGAAAAGTGCTCTACCACTTCAGCTACAACTCCAAGCCTTTGGTTTTTATTTTTCAGACAGTGTCACTACCTTTTTGCATAGGCTGGCCTTGAACTCTAGTTGCTCCAACCTCTACCTCCTCACCAACTAGGATTACACTTATGCACTATCATAGACAACTCAATAAAAGGTTTAAAAGAATTGAGCCAAGTTGGGCATGGTGATGCATATCTAATTCTAGCACTTGGGAGGCTGGGTCAAAAGATCTTGAGTTTGAGGCCAGCATGAGTTACATCAAGAATTCCTGTCTAAAAACAAAAAGAAAAATACCAATAACAAAAATCCAAAACAGTGACAACACCAAATGTTAATAAGGGAAACTGAGAGTAATAGGAATTTAATTCACTGCTTAATAGAACACAAATAATATACCTACATTAGAAGACAGTTTACAGTTCCATTTTAAAATAGTACTGGTATAACTCAGGACCTCACTCTTGCTAAACAGCTATTATATCAATTAAGTCATTCCTCCAGCACCTTTTTACATAGTATTTTTTGAGGTAGGGACTCACTTTATGCCCAGATCAGCCTGGGCTGCAATTCTACTTAGGTTTTTCCATGTCATTGGGGATGGATGATAAGTGCATGCGAGCTCAGACATTGAATGAAACAGAATTTTCTTTTTTTTTTTTTTGTCCATCATGGGGCTTGAACTCTGGGCCTGGGTGCTGTCCCTCATCTCTTTAGCTCAAGGCTAGTGCTCTACCACTTGAGCCACAGCACCACTTTTGGTTTTCTGAGTGGTTTATTGGAGATAAGAGTCTCACAGACTTTTCCTGCCCGGGCTGGCTTTGAACCATGATCCCCACATCTCAGCCTCCTGAGTAGCTAGGATTACAGGTGTGACATACTGGCGCCCGGCTTGAAACAGAATTTTCTATTTAATATTTTCAAACTGCATTTGACGGGGGAGGAGGGGTTAATAACATACTCCCAATGATAATGTCAATCTTCCCTTCCTATAATAAATCCTTAGGTAGTTTAAAAGATAAGGTCAGGCTGGGAAGGTGGCTCAGTGGTAGACTGCTTGCCTTGTATGCGTGAGGCCCTGAGTTGGATTCCTCAGCACTACATAAGCAGAAAAAGACAGAAGTGGCCCTGTGGCTCAGATGGTAGAGTGCTAGCCTTGAGCCTTGAGCTGATGAGCTGAGGGATAGCACCCAGGCCCAGAGTTAAGGCCCCAGGCAAAAAAAAAAAAAAAAAAGATAAGGTTTTAGCCAGGTGCTGGTAGTCTCATGCCTATAAACCTAGCTACACAGGAGGCTCAGATCTGAGGGTTGTGGTTTGAAGCCAGCCCAGAGAGGAAAGTCTGTGAGACTTTTATCTTCACTAAACTACCAAAAAAGCTGGAAGTGGAGCTGTGGCTCAAATGGTAGTATGCAAACTTTCAGCAAAAGCAGCTCAGGGACAGCACCCAGGACAGGAGCACATGAGCGCACACATATGTACATACACACAGGCATACATACACACCACAGGGTTTTGTCCCCAGAGACTCTAAAGACTAAGACCTGCAATCTACCCTATCAACTAGCATTCCATATAATTCTGAGGGCATTAGATTTTGAAAACATGTCTCCAAAGACTGCTACTAGTCAAATTTCTAAAGGAAAATATATGAAGCTTATAAATATTTCCCAAATACAATATGTATTCCATTGGATATCTAATAGCATATAAGAAAATAATTTGCTATTACCCATTCCTCATGATGTATACCACTTGGTAGCTAATGGCATATAAAAAGCCATTACCTATTTCCTTATATATGTACTTCCAAGTGCCATATGCTATAACTGCTTCTGTCTGCTTCTTTCACTAGAAAGACAAAGCAAACAGACTATTTCTCAAAAGCAGAGGTCAGGAAACAGATCTGAAAGATGACTATATAAACTAGTTAGAGAAAAGATAGGAAAAAGAAATTGTGGGCAGTGGTAACAATACATACAAAGAGGCAGAGAGCCTACCTTACCCTAATACTATTTGTTCTCTTCCTTCTCAAATCTATTTGTACTTTAAAACAATTATTTCTTTTGGTATGTAGTACAGTTAACTTTATGCTATATTTTATTTGAATACTTTATTTATATACTTATTTTTATTCCCTGTACTTCCAAAGAAAGGGAAAATAGTTTATGTCAAGTAGGTAAATATTGCAATAAGTACCACCTTATTACATAATTGCTTGGAAACATATGCCACCCTGGTCAAAGAAACTGTCACCAAACTAAAAGATATAGCAAATTGAATATTGATCCCACTACAGCTTAATTAACATCAATCCAAGTCGTGCTTTCCTCATCACTGGGCTCCATACTGGGAATATAATTAAAGGTCTGGAATTTGTTAGGCAAATATTCTATCACTTGATGCATTCCCCCAGTTGAATACTTTTTTTTTTTTTCCAGTAAGAAAGATGTTATCTATTAAATCTCAGGTGGCAGGAGGGAAGAAAAAAAAATGAACATTAAGTACCTGAATTTTTTCATTGGGTTAAATTATTCATCTGCTATTATTTCCAGGCATCATTTTCACCATCTCCATTTTTTAGGCAGGGATAAAATGGGTTTGCACAACACAACAAGGTTAATGACAGAGCAGAAATCTGAACACAGGTTCACTCAATTCCTGGTTCACAAGTTCCCCCAGTCTACGACACATCCCATTTACTTACCCAAGTCTAATCAATTATTTACCTAATTCTTTTAAAGGAGATGGCTGTACTCTCAGGGTTTGACCTTGTTCTTTGAATGCTATTGGGGTTGAAGCCAACTGATAAAAAGGTTTCCTTTGTGGTGTTTTAAATGAGTTTGGTTCATAACTGTTGATTTTATATTCAGATTCATCTGCATATTCAGAATTATAGGGTGGAGCTTCTGAAGAAAGTTCTTCAAACCAATTAAGGCTTATGGGTCCTAAATCTGTAATAAATAAATAAAATCCATCTTAATTTTCATCAACTACAATATACAGAGTTGCAATTTCTAATTCATAACACCAATCTTGGAAGTAATCATGGCATGATGTTACAATATGGACAGGGCTATCAAAATATCTAGAAGTTCTACTCAAAGTTCAAGACTAAGTAAACTACCAAAGAACTGGAAACTTAAAATTCTCCTCTTTCCAATTACCGGCATGAGATTAGATTTTCTTAATACTTGTACAACAATAAATTGCAAGGTATGCCCAGTAGCTCACACTTATAATCATTAATACTTGGGAGACAGAGATTGGGAGGATAGTGATTAGAGGTCATTCTTGGTTAAAAGTTTGAGATCTCATCTTAACCAAAAAGTTGGATTTGGTGGCATAAGCTTGTCATCCCAGATCTGTGACAATCAATAACAGAAGAACTGAAGTACAGCTTTAACTTTAAGAAAAACCTTGAAATGCTATTTCAAAAATAACCAAAAGAGGCTGGGAATGTGGCTTGCCTAGCATGCACAAAGACCTGGGTTTGATTCCTCAGTACCACATAAACAGAAAAAGTGAGAAGAGGTGCTGTGGCTCAAGTGGAAGAGTGCTAGCCTTGAGCAAAAGAAGCTCAAGGATAGTGCCTAGGCCCTGAGTTCAAGCCCCAGGACTAGGAAGAAAAATAACCAAAAGCTGGCAAGCCCTGTGGCTCATGATATAACTCTAGCTACTAAGGAGGCTAAAATCTGAAGAGTAAGCTTCAATAAAATCCTTGGGAAGACAAATCAGTGTCTCATCTCCAAATAACTAGTAAAATAATGGAAGTAGAGGAGACTGGCTCAAGTGGTGGAGTGAGGCCCTGAGTTCAAAGCCCAGTACCAGTACCAAAAACAAACTAACAACAACAAAGGTGTAATACACAAGTGCTGAGATGTGACTAGGTGGTAGAATGCTTGTCAAGGAAGCATAAAGTCTTGAGTATTACCAAACACCAGTATTACCAAGAAAAACAAAGTATAAACAGTCGCAGATATAGATATGAGAATTCAATTGTCATCTAAATTTTCAATTCTGAGGGAAATTTTTTTTTTTTTTTTGGGACTGGTCGTGGGGCCTGAACTCTGGGCCTGGGCGCTGTCCCTCAGCTCTTCAGCTCAAGGCTAGCGCTCTACCACTTGAGCCACAGCGCCACTTCCGGCTTTTTCTTTTTGCTTATGTGGTGCTGAGGGCCTTGAGCATGCAAGGCAAGCGCTCTACCACTGAGCCACCTTCCCAGCCCTTCTGAGGGAAATTTTAAGTCCACAATTTTATACATAACCAAATGTCACTGGTTTTAGAATAGGTTAAAAAAATTGTTTTGGACCTTTAAATGTTCAGAACAATCCAGATGTCCGAGGCTCACACCTGTAATCCCAGTTAATCAGAAGGCTAAAATCTGAGGATCCTAATTAGAAGCCTGTCTGGGTAGGAAAGTCTGTGAGACACATCTCCGACTAATCAACAAGAAGCTGTAGCTGAGAGTGCCAGCCGTAAGCAAAAAAGTTAAGGGATAGCATCTAGGTTGAATTCAAACAAGTGCTGGCAGGCACATATAAACACACAGGTTCAGGACAAGCCTGGTATTGGGGTACATGCTTGTAATTTCAATACTGGGAAGGAGGCAGCAGGAGAATCAAGAGCTCAATCCCAGCCAGAACTCTGTAGGGAATTCCAGGTCAGCCTGGGCTTCATTAGTGAGACTGATTCAAAAAACAAAGGTAGATAATGATAGAAAGGGTGAGATTGACTGGAATATATTGTGAACTTGTGGAACTGTACTGATGAAATCCCCTTCTGTACAATTAATGTAAACTAATAATCTCTTAGTTTTAATTCCTAGCATGAAAAGCTAGAAATTCCTCTTTCCATGTATCAAAGGATTAATGAAACCAAAAAGATTTGATAGTATCTGCTATTTAGAAACAGTATCAATGCTTCTGATTTGCTAGTAGTATTTGACAAACAGGTCTTCCCACCGCTAGCTAAGGGGCCAGTCTCCTTATTATGTTTCCAGATGCATTTACAATTCCATAAAAATAGCTTACAATGTAAAGCAAGCTGTGAAGTATTAAGTTCTTTGTAGCAATTATTCATCATGTGGCCTGAACTCTGGGCCTGGGTGCTGTCGCTCAGCTCTTCAGCTCAAGGCTAGCGCTCTACCACTTGAGCCACAGCGCCACTTGTCGGCTTTTTCTGCTTATGTGGTGCTGAGGAATCGAACCCAGGGCCTCATGCATACGAGGCCAGCACTCTACCACTCAGCCCCCTTCCCAGCCCTTATTTTTCTAAGAACATATTCTCTGTGTCGTTTATCAAGTTTCATTAAAAAATATATTAATACCTGCTTTGCTGCATTGTGTCTTAAAAATTTCAAAAAATGTTGGCCCCCCTGGGGATTCAATAGGCATTTTTCTCTGTGGTATTTCTCCAATGCTTGGTTACCAAGTCTGCAAAAGAGAAGATAAAAATACTCTTGACACGGATGCGTTTCTTGCGTGAGAGAATGAAATAAAATCAGCACTGGTAAGCTGGTCTTCAGTGATAAGTCCCAGCTTTGAGCTTTAAAACAGAAATGGCGAGGATGGCCGATATTCTGCAATCGTCCTGTCCCATCAAGGAATCGTTAGTCACATTAACCCCCGGAACAGGGGACCATAATTTTAGCTAGCTGTCTTATGGGGACTGGTGGCTGCACAGTCGTAGACGTTATTTGGGAACTCTCAGTCAGAAAATGGCGAATATTGAAATGTATTGGTGTTAGGGAAGGCAGAAACAGGGCGCCGAGGAGAAATTTCAGAACGGGACAACTGTGACGGCTGGCGCTAAGCTCGGGCGGCCCTCCCTGGGCCCTGGGGTCGCCGGATCCCAGAGGTGGGACGTACCCCGGTCACACGGGGCGGCTCCCACCCAGGGGCGCGCGAGGCTCGGCCCGGCTCCCACGCCCGTCCCCTCCCCACACATGACGAACCCACACTCCGGAGGTCCCAGCTCTTTTGTGAGGGGAGGGGTGGTGGTGGGAGCCGGAACAGCTGACAAAAACCGCGCTCGCACAGCTTCTCCTCTCGGCGACACGCCACCTCAGAGCCGACCCACCACATACCCGGACCGCACAGCTCCGCCTCCGCCGCCTCCTCGCGGAGCCGCGCGCCAAAAAGCCCGCGCTGGTCAGGTGACGCGCGACGTCATGACTCGGCGACGTCGTAACCCAGCGCGCAGAGTACGCGTCGTCTCCTCCCGGAAGTCGGGTGGAAGTCGTCGACCCCTGTTGGCTACGGCTCTCGACGCTGCTTGTTCTAAGCGAAGGAAAGACGGAGTTCCGGGTGGCCGTGAGGAAGTGGAGAAGCGAGCGGTTACCAGGCTTCCTCCTTTCACTGGGCGGGCCTTCCCTGCACCACCCCGCCGTTCTGGGGACCCCCTCTCCATGGGATCTTTGAGCAGCTTTTGTTATGCGCTCAGAGCTTAGGCCTGGCCCATGAAGTAGGCCAGCCTTCAGAAAAAGCCCCAAAAACCAAATAAAAGCTTCGGAGTTGTGCGTGGTTGTGGATGGCCAGGCTCTGTGGTCGTGAAAGGGGCTTGTCTGTGAGTGTCTGGCTCTCAGGTGGCCCTTGTTCAACTCCTGGAGTAGTTTTCCTGTCGGGCTTATTTCATTGAGCCTAATGTCCTTCAGGCTCATCCATGGTGTGGCAAATAGCAGTTCTCTCCCACCTCCCCAGTTCATCCTGTAAGTCAAAGTCTAGGCCGTGTATCCCAGACTGGCCTCAGCCTTCTTTCTAAAGCGTTGGAATCGCCGGTGTGCCTTACCACTCCTGGCTCCCCCCTTTTGTTTCAGAGGATGAATAACATTCCCATAACAATGTCGCAATTTTAATCTGTCAGCAGACACAGCTTTTCCTAGTTTTGACTCTCCTAAGGATGGAATGCTGTAATCTCTTGTGATTCTGACTTCATTTCCTTCAGGCATACTCTAGAGTGTTGGGACTGTGCCATCATATGTTTTTTGTGGTGGTTTTTTTTTTAACTTTTAAAAAATTATTATAAAGATGATGTACAGAGGGAGTTACAATTACATGTCACTTAATGAGTGCATTACTTCTTGGACAATGTCCCTTCTTTCCTGGCTCTTTCCAAGTTTTTCCCAGTAATTCTATTTTTAAGTTATTAAGGAACCTCCATACTGTTTCCTAAAAAAGCTGTACTTATTTGCATTTCCACCAACAGTGTGCAATGGATGATCAGTTAAACAATAAATGAATGGAATTACTTCCTTAAAGCAGAATGGATGAGTCAGAAATGAAAAGCAGCTTTTTGAAAAAGATGCAGGACCAGCGAATTGAAGAGGTAGTGAAAAAGCAATGAGGAATCAAGTAGCAATGAGATTTTTGTAGGTAGATAGCGGTTCCCTCCTTCAATTAGTGTAATAGGCTGCAGCTCCTGTTAGATTCTGAAATAAATGGAGAAATCCACGATGAACCTGAAGCAAGAGAAGGAAGGGGCGGATGAAGGTGCGAGGCAAAGGCAAGGGCCCCAAGTGCGGGAGGATATCATATTAGGTCTGAGAACCTGGTAAGGGATGGAGCGCTTTGTCCGTGTTCCCTATGGCTTATACCAGAGTTATGGAAACACAATGCCTTTGAACCAGCCTGGACTTGCAGGGCACAAACAGTTGGACTGGAGACAAAACATGGGTCCCCCAACTTTCCTGGCCAGGCCAGGGATGCTGATGCCAGCAAATGCCTCTGACTACTACATGGACCCTTACAAGAGGGTTCAGCTCAAGGCTATTCTCGCCCAGATGAACTCCAACCCTGGTCTACGACGGGGCAAGGCCAACACCAAAGAGGTAGGCATACAGGTGAGCCTGCGGGTGGACAAGTCCGTACAGTGCTCGCTGGGGCCTCGAACCCTGCGAAGCTGCTCCCCTTGGGACAGAACTGGTCACAAGGAAACCAGGACAGGCTGGGGCACCTATTCACAAGTGACCCATCAAAGCAGCTTAATACGGCTGCGCAATAGGGAGGATGGGAAAAACAAGGCGCTTTCAGGCCCGGAGGAGGCCAGCCAGCGGCCAACATCAATGCCAAAGTCAGAGGCTGAAGATAACAAGCAGGAGGAACTCCAACAGCTCAAAGAGCTGGAAGATGCTGCGGGTTCTGAGGAAAAGATGTGCAAGCAGGAACATGGAGACACAGACACAGATCTGCTTCAGAAACCCAACTTCCAGGTGGATTTTGTTTTCTCTGTTAGTTCCCCACCCTCTACCAACCCTACCTATCATCTGTTTTCTTATTTCTTTTTCTTTTTGCGGGGCAGAACTAGGGATTGAACTCATGGCCTCAAGCTCTTGCAGGATTAGAGTTCTACCACTTGAGCCACATCTCCAGCTCTGATTTCCTACTCCTGCCCCTGGTTATGTTGGTGATGGAATCTTACAAACCTTTCTACCCAGCCTTGTCTGAAGCTATGATCCTCACTATTTACTAGACTCAAGGTCTCAGCCTTGTGAGTAGCTACAGATGTGAACCACCTGCATCTGTCTTGTTTTCTACTTTTGAGGCAATAAAAGGCATGTCTTCTCTCATTCCTGCCTTTTATTTAGTAAGGGAAGAGGAGTTCTGAAGACACGTCTTCTACATGACAAGTGGGTTTTGCAAGTTTCTAGCTTTTTAAGCTTCTAACTTTTTAAAGTTGTGAAACCAAGAATCTGGCTACCATTGGAGTGGGGAGTGAGGTGAAAAAGAGTTTCAAGTGTGAGAAATACAACGGCAGATTTTTCATTTTAAGATAGTGCGGGTGGAAAATAGATTGGGAAGGAATGAATGATAGCAGTGTAAAGAACCACACAGAAATCCTAGAGAGACAAGATACTAAATTAATGGGGTTGCATTGAAGCAAATGTGATTTTTTTTTAATGCAAATCAATTAAAAGAGAATCTCTAGATTTTTTCCCTTGATATATTAAAAAACTCTTTCCTCTCTTCAGTTTTTGGAAGCAAAATATGGCTACTTTCACTGTAAAGATTGTAATACCAGATGGGAGAGCGCTTATGTGTGGTGTATTTCTGGAACTAATAAGGTAAGTAAAAGTGAGGGGAATGGAGTGGACACATTTATCTAGATGGAAATATGACTCACAGCTCCATTCTTTCTGGCTTCCTCTGTTAAGCTTTTAGTGAGTGCACAGTGAATGTTCAAATTCATCTGAATTTGATACGGTCCAGTCCCTGAGTTGTATTCTAATATTGTATGTGGCTCAGTTGTTTTGTTATACAAAATTTCAGGTTTTCTAGTTAAACTTTTGCGCTTGTTTACACTGGACATTCTGCAACCATGTGTTACACTTTAGGCCTTAGCTGGAGGAGATTTCCAGTTTGTCCACAAGGTGGGGCAATAAGAGACATACTGAGAATAAGTCCCCCTTTCACCAAATTGAGTTGTCAATATACCAAGATGAGGAGACACTTTATTCTGCATTTCCACATTATCATGGACCCTCCTATCAGAATGACTAGATTAGACTGCCACTGTGCAACTTCTGTCTGGTTTTGCTTGCCCTGAATACTTCCTTTTCCAACTATGCTTAGGTTTATTTGATAAAATTTGTTTTTATTTTTGCATCAATACAGGGGCTTGAACTCAGAGCTGTGTGTGTGTGTGTGTGTGTGTGTGTGTGTGTGTGTGTGTAGTCAGTTGTGGGGCTTGGATTGAGGGCCTGGGCCTCTTATGTATTCAAGGCTAGAGCTCTACCACTTGAGCCACAGCACCACTACTGGTTTTTGAGTGGTTAATTGGAGATAAGAATCGCATGGGGACTTTTCTGCCTGTGCCAGCTTTAAGCTGCAATCCTCAGATCTTAACTTCTTGAGTAGTAAGGGTTGTAGGAGTGAGGTCACCAGTGCTGGGCAAGAGCCTTGTATTCTTTTTTTTTTTTTTTGCTGTAGGCTAAACTCTACTGTTTGAGTCTTAGTACTACTTCCTGCTTCTTGCTGGTTAATTGGAGAGTAGGAGTCTCACAGACTTTCCTGCCTGGGCTGACTTTGGACCTGGATCCTTAAATATCAGCCTTGTGAATAACTAGGATTATAGGTGTCATACTAGAATCAGGCCCTTATTATTATTGTTGTTGTTGTTATTATTATTATTATTGAGAAAGGGCCAGCCTGAAACTCTTGATCCTTGTGACTTAGCCTTCCAAGTGCTGGATTACATGTATGTGTTACTACAACCAGCACTTGTTTCATTAGCTTCTAAGGACATTGGAGTTTGTGCTGCCGTTCTGACTAAAGCACTAGAGAGGGAGAGGGAGTTAATTGGAGAGTAGGAGTCTCACAGACTTTCCTGCCTGGGCTGACTTTGGACCTGGATCCTTAAATATCAGCCTTGTGAATAACTAGGATTATAGGTGTCATACTAGAATCAGGCCCTTATTATTATTGTTGTTGTTGTTGTTATTATTATTATTGAGAAAGGGCCAGCCTGAAACTCTTGATCCTTGTGACTTAGCCTTCCAAGTGCTGGATTACATGTATGTGTTACTACAACCAGCACTTGTTTCATTCGCTTCTAAGGACATTGGAGTTTGTGCTGCAGTTCTGACTAAAGCACTAGAGAGGGAGAGGGAGTTAAGAGGCATGCTAAGAGTGAATGAAAACAACTCCATGTTTTGACTAGCCATTTACTAGACTCAATAGTAGGGCTTGAACTCAGGGCCTCATGTTTGTGCTTAGCCTTTTCACTTAAGGATGGTACTGCCCTACTTGAACCTTACCTTCACTTCTAGCCCTTTAGATTAATTGAGTTAAGAGTTTCTCACATTTCTCTGCCCAGGCTATCTTTGACCCTGGATCATGGGCTTTTGAGTAGCTAGTAAATCAGACATGAGCAACCAGTTCCCTATTGTTTTTGTTTTTGTTTTGTTTTGTTTTGTTTTGTTTTGTTTTGAGAGAGAGAAAGGACCTAATTATGTAGCTCAGACTGATCTCCAACTCTTGATATTCCTGCTTCTTCCTATTGAGT